GGGGGGGGGGAGAGGGAATATTTGGAGTCTTAAAAGCGATGCTTCTCATAACACTTTTCTCGTTCTAAGATCGCATACTGGATTTCCTGGCGGATAGAACAGCTTCGAAACGTCAAGCGCTAGTTCTGTTAGTACAGCGTGCTGCAGAAAATACGAAACAGCTGATGTGAAATACCCTATTAAGATGTGGCATAATGCGCATTCTCGAATATTAATTATAGCTAGAGTTTGCAAAGTAGAGGTGGAGGTGGGGATTTCAGGATAGATATCTTGTCAGCTTCGAGGATTTACGGCAAGGGATTTCAATATTTTTTAATATGCCGGTCTTCCAAAAACCTGTTGCTGATACAGGAACTTCTCCTCCACGACGTGCAAATCAGTGTCCTGTTGCCTCAAACAGTGCCACTCAGTACCAATGGACTGATCGGGCTTAACGAAGGAATTAACAATGATGATAAAAAATGTTTTAGATCCGTCCATTGGTACTGAGTTGCACTGTTTGCATATGTTACTCCTTCGTTCCTGACTGATGACAAGATAGAATCACAATCAAACTTCAACTTACAGGTAAGTCTCGTTTAATCTCACTGAACCAGTGAACACGAATGAGAATAAATGACTTACTAGTAAAACTCCGCAATGAAAGTCTACCACGTGGAATTGAAGGTCGCCAACTTTATTCAATGATGGAATTAGCTCATTAGCTCAAGATATAAATTTTTGGCCACATCCTTAAAGAACATGCATATTCGATTCCACAATAACAATTCCTGCATGTGATTTCGCATATGAAGCTATCGACACGTCATCCAATCCATATATGGGAAGAATTGCGCAATTTTCGCATTTTCTGACACGAGAAAATACGGAGAAACGCCACGCATTTTATGATTGGGCTACCACAGGTATCATAGTAACAACACACCCGCCCAGCTATGCACTATGAAACACAACCCCAAATTACACTAGTAACTTGCTTAAATTCACCCTTTTGACACGCTACACTGGTACTAAGTAATAATGAGTCTTTTAGACTCCACCCCTTAAAGAATGACATGCGTAAAAATGATCGATTAAATGGGACAAATGAACACTAAGTACTGCAATGTACTAAGTACGATTAGATGTGACAAGCTCTTGTCTGTTGTACAATTATCTTTACCGGTTCACGAAGATTCAGTCTCACTCGTATTGCCACAGACATTCAATTGTAAATTTGATTCCATCACAAATCGCATTGCTTATATAATTCCTATCTATTAGTATCAGTATTCTCTTGTTCATCTTAGTATTTATCCATCTTGCCTACTCTTTCTTTTGGCACGACGAGAAACGTCGGTATTCACACCATTCTTTCTGGTATCTTAACCTTTGCCTTCTCCATTGTACAATACGATGAAGTCACCTTTGTTTTCCAAGGGAAAAACTGGTCGTCCCTTTTTTGCCTTCTCAAAGATTTCTAAAGCTATTCCTAAAATAAAGTATCGAAAAGCACCAGACGTTAGTGATATCATCAACACTATCACACGTCCACGTCCACCAGCTTTTCATTTGTATCAATGGAAAGAGTGAGTATCAGGAGATTGGTTGTACTTACTCACTGTACTGTCCACCATAGTTGGAATAACGTCTTTGAGAACCTGACAGTTGGTATTCAGTGATGGGTTGACATTGACTTCGATCAACCAAACCTGTTTAGAAACACAACATGTCTTACTGACAGATACTAGGTACACACGAAGCCCAAACAATGCTCTAGCGTGATGTATTTTTTTACCTTGAAGTTCTCGTCTATCATGAAGTCAAATCCAAGAAGATCAAAGAATCCACTTCTTCGATGCAACTTCTTCCGAACACTGTGAAAACATGTCAGCATGATTTGTTGCATTCGTTTCTATAAAATGAAAGATAGCCAGATAAGAGAAGTCAAAGCTTGAAGTATAGGTCATATAGTCTAGAGTAGATGTCTACTCACAGTAAAAGTCGTGAACATCCAGTTCTTTGCTAATCCCTTTTCTTTTGTGTGGTGTTCGTCGATATAGGACTGTAATCGCTCAAACGACCAAACAGTCTCTTCTTTCATGCTTGAATATGAAGGATGTTTCTTCTGGATGTACTACACAATATGGAATAAGGGAAACAGACAAACTCTTCAGAATATAAAATATTTCTCACAACGAATTGCGTAATCGTTGGTGAGATGCTCCAAAATTTGCGCACCTGCAAATCACGACGTGCGCAGCAACTCAGAACATTGCCGAACAATACTTCACATAGACTGGACAACAGTACAATGGTGTTCTGGAGATAACGAAAGGAATCAATTTGGGAAAAACTACAAGACTTTCTTATGGTAAAAATGAGAGATCGTTGAGTATGGCTACCTGATTGGTCAGATGAGCAAGTAAAATCGAATTCCCAGCCTCTTCAGAGTAAGGTGAATACGGTACACAAGAAAGACGTATGTACCCCTGATGGTAAAGGACCACATAGGGATTGGTACTGGCGATGAACATGTAGGCTCTGATGTCAAACTTGTGATTATTCAAGAGAAGAGGATTCATTATATACCTGCAATAGGATCAGCGAAAAAGGTTTTTCAGTTCAACATCAGGAAACATCACACAATAAATGGGTGCGTTTTTTCTAAATAAAAGTCCTTCGTAAAGCGGCACTCTTGACTAACCAAAAACTAAAAGCCAAGGAGATTCCACAAGCACGCGCGCTAAAATCAAACATGGTAAGGGTCCCTTAATGCGTATCGCGTTTCGTTTCGCGAGTCGCAAGACATTTTTACCTCTGAATGATTCGACCCGGTGATGGTCTAACTTGACTGCTACGCCGTCCATTACTGTTAGTATTTTGATATTGATCGTTAAGATGCAGTTTATCCCGCAGTTGTGCAGAGCTGTTGATCATGTAAATACCCTTGCCTTGATTCTGTCCAATAGGCTTACAAATCCAGACTTCTCCTTCTGCAAAGACAATTCAAGCAAATGATGTTATTATTTGAAGGACGTCTCAGGTGGCGCCAACACCAAACATTTCTCCATGTACTAATTGTATCACTCATCTCATCTCCAAGCTGCGTAACCTACCTTTGTAAACTTCATTAAGGAACTTCTGTTTTTCAGTAGTGTTTGTTAGTCTTATTGTTTCCGGTACGAAGTCACTTAGTTGAATGCGTTGCCTGAAATAAATACAAAGATGATTACATCATCATACAAAATTGACATCTCGGACCTATGGGGACTGGGCCAGTGAGGATTCAGTTCAGTAGTTTTTGGGGAGGAGAGGTAATGGGAGGGGACCAACACGTGGTTTAGTCAACTGACATGGGTCTTCATCGAGGAAAGTATTCGGGCAGATTGGTCATTTTGATTTTGTCATTATAACATTCACTTACTTCGATCCTATTTTATCCAATACTCTTTCATATTCTTGTAAGCTGCACAGTAACCCAAGCTTGGTTGTAAGAACACCAATATTGGAAATGTGGTTAACGAGCTGGTTACCTGAAAAAAGAAAGATTACGTTGATACATTAACAATGGTGCTTGACGCCAGCCTTTTGTTAGAACATCGACGTGTTGTCCTTACCTTCTCTAAAGTTGCTGTAGTCAATTTGACTCTTGCACTCAACCCATTTTAGTTTGAAGGATTCATCGTATCGGTCTTCAAGCTTTCGCCAACCCAACGACTGCAAGGTTGATTCAACCCTAGAAAAGAAACACATTCAATCAATTGGTGTTCATTGGCGTCAACACTCCTTTCTACGAGGAGTAGAAATTTTCACGATATTGCTATTTGTCATCAGATAAAAATGGTGCAACGTTGCTTATAATCGTCTTCATATATCATACAAGGGGAATCCTATATCTACGTGACATTACTGTAATAACACTGTTCTCATAGTGTCTTCTTACATGAAGCTTCCATTCCCAGGACTGACGTAGTAAGCAGGCTGTCGTCCCGAGTGACACAAGCGCGACTTGACACCATCTCTTACAGGTTTTGGCGGGCTATCTTTTCCTTTCTTTTTACCGTTACTGTTGTCACGCGTAGGGGATCCGTTTGAACCTTTAAAATCAATAGTCTTTTTGTTAGAATTTAACTTTAGGGTTATAGCAATATTTTTCGCATAGGTTCGTTGTGCAGAGGGTTGTGAGATCCATGGCCGGATAAAGAAAAGTATGAAGTAAAAGAGAAGAATGAATGCAAGGCCATGGTATACCATACAATGAACAAACAATTTGCGCAAACCAAGTCTTACCTTCATTGGGACTATCTTTAGACGGAGAGGATGACCCACTATTGCCATTTGATTCTACTTTCTCAATGGGACAAGTGGAAATATTCTTTTCCACTTCTCTGCGGCATTCAGGCAATGCAATGACCTCAAAACATTCTAAAGAACTTGTAAGATCATTGGAACTCGTTTCTTCTAGATTAATCGTTCCATTCTCTTGTTTTTTGCCTAGGTTGTGAATACAGTTAAGATATATTGGACAACATTCTGGACAGGAACAGTTTGTTTTGTCATAATCAAATAATTGTTTGTGTAATTGTTCATGATCAAAATCACACAAGTCGCGATCAGAAGCCTCCTCTCGTCTTGAAGTAGATTCAAACTCCTTCTTAGCATTTTCTTCATACATTAGACATTGATGCTCAATTGTAATATTGAGAGAATCTTCTATTCTCTTGCAGCTTATTGTTGAGGTTTCATCTTTTGGATTCTGCTCATCTTTACTAATCCGCACAGAAGGTGAGGGTTCATTTTGCTCTTCATGGCTCAACAAATCATCTGTTTGCTGTTGTTCACCAGTAGATCCCTCTTCTTCCTCAGCTGCCTGGCATTGATCTTCTTCATCTTCAGCAAAAATAGATTTCTTGCCCGGATCATACACAGATGACCTCCATGGATGCTCTGGACAAAAGCTTTTACAAATCCCCATCAGCCAAGTATCGATGGATTTAAAGTGGTATTTCATATTGTAGTAGCTTTTTGACACAAACTTGTAAGAGTCAAATACTTGTACCCTAAAATAGGAACACAGTACTGTGAAATTTTTCTCATTTATCATACCAAAAACTTGAAGAACTTGGGTTAACTTTTTCTTAATTCCTAAATAAATAAGACCATTCTGGTAAAGATGGAGCTCAAAGCAAGGGAAATACTTACACTCCTTTCTGCCATCTGGCACCAATAGTCTTTTCACCCTCACCAAGCCAGATCTCCACATGAACCATGTCATGACGCTGTCTTTTCCCTGAAAAATAAATCAGTAAAAAAATAAAACTAGTATCTGGTGTACTATGGGATACCTGTGTTACATTTATCCACAGGGAACCCAATGATTTGTAAATGTAGGGAATCTCTTTTTGCAACCATTTAAATATTATTTGAACTTTTCCATGAACCCTCTTCCATAAAGGATAATGATTAAGTGCCTCTGGTACATTTAAAACAGTGGGACTGTGTTGGAATGACTTACATTTTTTGCCAGGTTTTTCATAATAAGTTGCTGATATGAAAACCAAATCACCAGGTTTCATGTCGACTTGTTCTTTGATATCCCCAGGCAGTGTGTCATACTGAAGAACAAAGAGTGCTAAGCATGATCATAATGAACAGATGCATGTATTATTTTCCCAACTTACAGTACTTTGAAAACTATTAAGCAATATGCTGCCTGCCTGTTTGCCTTAATATTGGTGCACACATTTTGATGGGTTCCAAGGTCAATTATTTACTATCGTAAATATCTACATTCTTTTCTTTTCTCAATTACCATGTATGCCTGATTGCCACCTCCAACAACAAAGCCAAATTCTTCCTTCAGATCCAGCAACACTCGACGAATGAGACCACAGCAGTCAAGAAACAGTGGAGCATTATAATATGGTGCTGCAAATCATATCAGTAGGTTTAATTACAATAAAACATTATTATGATAGACAACCTGTATGGCCACGATATGAACACTCTGATGGGTGTGTCTTTGGGTGGGATGTCTAGAACAGGAAACTCATTATGATTATGTTGACATTACATTATTGCAGCAGACGCAGGAGCAGTTGCAGAACCAGGAGAGTCTTTAAGGTGGGGTGACTGTTAGCTAGAAAGCCACTTCCTTTTTAGATTTACCTCATTTTTTCTATTTTTCCTCTCTCATAAATAGGGGTGGGTGGCAAAAAGCCAGCCACCCAATTTACCCATGGGTCTGCCCTTGGGAGTCAACTGTTACTTACAATTTTCGTCATGATATCTCTTGGCATAAGGAACCCCAAAGTATTTCTTTAGTCCTTCAAGAAAAGTTTGTCTCAGTCCATTCATCCTATTCACATCCTGTCGCTGTGTCAACGCTCTCTCTTCCATGATTCTTGCCACTTTCATTTCACGCTATAAAGAAATAGTTAAACTTTAGCATAACTAATCCTAGTATATATCAGTACTTTATTATACACTGTTTACAATCCAGATTCTAAAATATTCATAAGAATGATGATTTTAGCACCTTAGGTTGATATAATCACGCAAACACCGTTGTTTGAACAATTAATTTACATTACCTGTGAAGCCAGAAGAATATATATTCACAATTCTACTTGTATTCTGTATAATATTGAACTAAAATGATCGTAGAATACATGAATTGTACTCGATAGTTTTGAACAACTGTTGAACCGATAAAGAGATTGATGATAACTACAACACTAATTAACTACAAGGTTTTCGCATCTTAAACTTTCTTTGTGTTTAAAACCAAGAGTTTCCATACCTGTCTGCTTTTTCGAAACTTTTCAAATGCTTCTTGAAGGTTTTCTGCCTTCTGCTTTGTATTCACGTTCGGGATTTCAATCAAAAAGGTTCTGTTTTGATTTGCCATCTTGTTGAAGGTTTTGTGTTGTACAGGACTAACGATCGAACAAGCCATCTAAAAACCTTGTTTCTTTTCTAACAATACAGAACTCAAATCATAAGACAGCTCTTGATGATATTCTATCATTAATCCTTCCTGAGAAATGGCCCAACGGTTTGCTGCATGTCCGATGTAAACAATCTTGGTGGTTTAGCAACAAGAATCATTCAATCCTAACGCCACCCCACAGGGGGATCAATTACGATTCTGCCAAGAGCTCTAACTTCCGGTTATATGATTTTCGTTTAAAAATCGAACATATCGCTCTGGATTTTTTAAAAAGAACTATGAAAAATGATATTCGAAAGAAAAATAAAACCCATAAAAGTGTTAAATAGCAGGCGAGGAAATTGATTACCAATCGATCTGTAATGAATTAACATGCGTCGGTCACGTGCTTTTCTCAAATGTGATTGGTCGCCAGGTTGCGTATCGAGGGTTATTTAAAAATTTAAAATTTCGAAGCTTTGATCGTTCGTGTTCAGTTAATCTTTGGCCTCGTGTAGCTACTAAGTCGTTGTATGGTCTGTTTTCAGCTCGCAAAGATTGTAAAATGGGAGGTTTAGAGAGTAAGAGATGGATAGAACTCATGCCTGAGACACCACAGAAGGAAAATGCCAAAGAAAACTTAGGACATTCACAGATTGAAGATCCACGGTCTCCGTCCATGCACCATAAACGTACTCCAATCGTTCTTCAAGAATACAAAGAATCGCCACAAAATATCGCTTTACGTGCAGAATTTTATGATCCTCGATCTCCAAGTGTGAAAGTTTCTCGAACTCCTTTAACCTTTCTCTCCAAATCTGTCGTTATTGTTGATGAAAAAGATGGTGAAGATGTCTTCGAGAGCAGAGAAAGAAGTACGTCTGACCCTCCAACTGCAAACTCAAAGCATGTGTCTGAAACTGAAGTCAACTCTCCGGGAGCTCCTCTGACTAGGAAGGACAAAGTATCTCTCCTCAAGAGCACCGCAAGTCCATGTGATTTTAAGAGAAAGAACCGATTGAGACGTCGCCAATCGTTACCACAAAAACTCTTCACAGACAAGTCTGCTACCATTCCACGTTCACCACTAGCTCAAAGAAACCATTCTCTGCCTGAAGATGGAAAAAACAGGTTCACTCTTTTGCCAAAGAAAAAGGGCTTCATCAGTGAAGATTTCAATGAAGATAAAGAAAACACACATCTGCCAATTGTACACTAATGGTATAACTCTTATGATAGTCCATTATGAATGGAGCATAAATTTATAGATTTTAAAGCTAAAACAGCTGTTAAATAGATTGTAGGTGGACAAGCATTTTCGCTGAAATGCTTGCCTAAAATTTCTGGATAAGTAAAATGCTTGGTTAAGCGTTGGCTAAATTTAAAGAGCGCTTTTTAGAAAGTTCACTATGAAATTCCTTATATTTAGATCATTGTTCCAGTTGGATTGGAATTTTCTGTTCATGGGCAGTGAACATATGCTACCATGCTATTTCAGCATGCAGCTTGCAACCTCCAAGTTCGCAGAATATTGAAAACTGCAGTAAAAGTTAATGGTTGCAATGAAAGGAGTTTGACAGTGAAATATTTATACACATGTGAGTAAGATAACTAAATAGACACTTCAGTGACAATCAAAATTATTCTGATGTTTATTCCTGTTAAGTTGACAACAACATGTTTGACAAAGGTTAACTCGAGTTAATTTGTTGGTAAAAACCTATTTTGTACATAGAAGTTAGACATGTAAATATTAAATAATATTAAAGCATTTGATTAAATTGTTTTAATGAATTACAGTGTCTCTGAACAGTTTTTTTCTATATTTGAAGTTATGTCATGTCATAAAAATCCATATTAAGGTACATTGAAAGGAGAGAAAATACAAAGATATCAGCAATGATATTCGATTGCATTGTTTTCATATTGAAGGAACATGTTGATTGAGACAACAGTTGTGACAGGGAAATTGGGCAAGACTAGGTATGTCAATCAAATAAAACATCAGAGTAGGTCCCAATGTACCTTTGCATACTATAACAATTCATTTAATTGAGAACATTGGTTCACATTAAAACTAAATGATTTATTATGATTCACCAAAATTGAACCTAAACTCATTAGAAGACGATGGCTTGAATTTCCAGCTTGTTGATGATAATGTTCCTGGTGAAGTCTAACACATAGAAAGAAAAAGCCTAAAATTAAACAAAAACATAAACCTTTGTAAAACCAAAATGCTGCAATGTATTTTACCTCTTCTCGTAAATGTGAATTTAGTGATGATTCACTGACATTTTTTTCTTGACGTGACACTCTAATGAAAACACTCTTTTGCTGATTCTTTTTCACAGAAAATACATTTATTGGCCTTTGAGATTCTATAGACAAAGAAATAATAGAATCAAAATGCAGCTGATTAGTTGTCCATTGTTTCAATCAAACGTTTTTCTAAAATTACCAGTCGAGAATTAAACTTGATAAAATGGGAGTAAAAAATTTCCAAACCTTTTGCAGGGCTTGTTTTCTTATCTTCTTCAATTTTTTTTCTGTAATCTCCAAACACTGAAAACATAATTTGCCTTTTCTTTGGCTGGAAAATTAAATTAAATGGGTAAATGAGATAAGTGAATAATGTATATTTTTGGGGAATCCAGTATTAATTATTTTACTTACAAGAGCAGTTTTAGGAGACTTTAAGCTTTTTAATATATGTTCTGTGTGTTGTGCTGTTGATTAGATCAAAGATTGAACAAATTGTCACTACTATCTGTTTTCTAGAAAACTCAGCCAAATGAACAGAAAAACTTCTCTTTACCTGTATTTTTGTCTGGTTTTTGCCTGGCTAGTCCAATCTCTAGCTGACTTATACACCAAGCCAGTTCTTCATCAAATTTTTCCTGTGGAGTCTATAAATGTGAGTTTTGTAGAGTGAACTTTTCATTTTTGATTTAAAATTGGATAATAATGATTTGATAGAAGGTTTTTTCTGCGTACTTTAGTGTCTTGAGCTTGTGTTTCTCCTGCATTAGTATCACAACACTGTAACGAAGCTTCACTCTGGTGGAGCAAACAATAGCTTAATTTCATTGACATATTTAAATATCACCTCTATAAAATTTTCTAGATCTAATTTTTCAGTTGTTTACCATAAAAGAGTAGCTACCTTTTCCCTCTGTTCTTGTTTCTTTTTCTTAGCTGCTAGCTTCTTTTTCTTGTTCTTTTTCTGTTTTGCTGTTAATGTATCGTTTTTTTCATAGCATTCTTCTTCTTCTTCTTCTTTAGCTTCTACTTCTTCTTTAGTTTCTTCTTGTTCGTCCGCCATCTTGAAATTTGTAACTTGAGATAGACTGGAACCTAGGAAACTTTTCAACCAATCACAGACCTCTAGTCTCGTCTAATCTCGATCTCCTTGTGGTTTACTTACCCTTTTTTTTGTTGTTGTTGTTGTTTATACATTGCAAACATTTAGTTTTCATCCTTCGTTAGATTCGTTTTCTATTTATTCCTCAGAGAAAATAATTTTTTTAACTCTAGGTTAAAGTTGACCAATCATAACGCTCGTTAGAAATAGTGCGCCAAGATGACGTAAGCATAAAGTTCGTTTGTTATTGTTTTGGTTCTAAATTAAAGGCGGGCCAGAAAACTTCGATCGCGTAGGAAAATAGATTTCTTTTATGGCGTTCTTGGTGGATTTCAACTACCAGATCGAGGATTTCTCTATGCCTGACAGTGATGTTTATGGTGAATGCGAAGACTGTGGCAGGATCACAGCAGAATGGCAACTAGATCAGTGTCAGTACGGGTTTTGTGGACGCTTCACTTGTCGTAGTTGTGGATTTCGTTGTGTTCACTGCAGGGATCTCAACCCAAGATCAGTAGCACTTTGTCAAGTACATTCAAATATTGCCTTTCCATTCTGTAATGATTGTAATAAACGGTATTGTGATGAATGTACAGACATCGAAGTCAAAAAGGTTAGTGTGTTTCATCACCTGTGTTCAAAGGTTATTCCTGACGAACAGCTGATCAATGTTTTGTTTACATCATTTTAATATATCGCTTATTTTTTATGGGTAGTTTCATTTTCACAGAGGCTTTTTGATGATAAAAGTCTTTAAATGATAAAAATGATAAAGGCATTGTTTTTATCCAGTAAAGATGTAGCGAAAAAGACATTTATCACGACAGATTTGGTCTTCATTAATTATTCAAACGTATAAGAACAAAGAGATTTTATTACCAACATGTACAAACTGTACTGTGGTACATTCTACCTTCTTATGAAGATCACTAAAATATTTTGGTCTGATGAAATAAGAAAAAAATTAAAACAATTAAAAAAGAAAGGAAAATAAAGCGAACATATCAACTTTAGTATTAATTCTTATTTTCCATGTTTTCTTTTCAGTGTTTCATGTCTGAACGACATGTGCAATAAGTGCCTGGAAAAGGATGCAAGCTGGGACAGCAATTCTTCAAAGTGTGGTAAATGCAACAAAAAAGCCCTAAGGTCCTTACAAGATATCTGTCGCACTACAATAAGGTCATCTATAGCTACAGTACAAGAAAACTCCATCCCAAAGGACATCAATAAAAATGTTCAACATCTTCCTCTTCCTAATATGGTTAAGAAATTTGTTTGTTTTAAATAAATGATAAATAAAAATGCTGCTGGGTTATGTTGTATTGTATGTAAGTAGTGCTTAAAAATTATAATAATTATAATAATTATATAGGACAACACCATCACACAAAGTTAAATAATGAAGATCACATTTTATTGTTATTGTTAATAATATTGAATTAGCTGAACTAGAGCTAATATGTCTGCAGACTGTTCCAAAGGGTATACATCCAGTCGATGGACTTGGATGTAATAGATGGATAGAAAAAATGATACACAGAAATGTTGATATGAAAGATATGTTGCAATAAAGATTTTAAAATTATATTCTGCATTGTAATCATAAAATAAAATATTTCCTTTACCCTATTTTCTATTAATCATATACATTTACACGTCTATAATCTTAAATTTTGAATGTCCTATCTGTTATATTTCAAAGTTTCAAACTCATAATAAACTAGACTGTTTCATTTCTTTTGCATATTTTATGCACCAATAGCTGAGCCAAATTGCATCAAACTTAGTGTATTTTATCATAATAATATTGCCTGTGCTGACAAAGCCTCTGATTAAAAAATATCATACAAAAAGTGGCCTATTGGTCTCCATTTTGTATTATTTTTCAAATCAATGTTCATGAGAATTCTCCAGGTTTTCAAGGCACTGCTCCATGTATTCATGGGTAAGATTAGCTCTAGTGATGATTCCAACAAGCTGCAAACATAAGAAAGGACAGTGTAAAGTAAGATTGAGTGACTGAGATTTACTGAACATTATGATGGTAGCCCTTACCCAGAAGACTGTACCCCCCACCCCAGAGAATCATCTGAGGACTGTACTCCTCCCCCACCCCAGAGAACCATCTTTTGATACCTGTCCTTTATTGTTGACAACTGGAAGGTGACGCAGACCCATGGTCCTGAACAAATTGAATACAAGAGGAACAGGGGTCCAAGGAAAGACCACATATGGACAAGGATTCATGTAAGGAGTGACATCCTGAAATAACACAACACAAATCTCAGGGTTAAATACTGTCAAGTAATACTGCTGTATCTTTTAATTTCATTTATTTCCATTGTTTATTTGTTCTTTTTAATTTAACTTAGATTTTATAAGATTTAGTTGGAAGATTCCCATGCCAAACTAAATTTTTTAAAAAAACTACAAGTTTATGAATGACAAACAAATAACATAAGATTCACCACAATTTTTTCTCTGTCTCTTCGTGACAAGGGTATGGTGTAGATATCAGGGAATCTTGGATAATCCTCAGTCATTCCTGAAAAGTTTACTTGTGGCTGTGATGAACTCTAACAAGAAAAGAGAGTTTAGTAAAATCATTTTTATTTAGCTTGTCTCAAATACGACATGGAGCAAATGACAAGAAATGGACCTTTCTGAGTTTGACAAGAAAGATGCATTCTGGTCAAATATCAGTCATATGAGGCATGATGAACAAAAGATGTTTGTACCCAAGCCATACCAGAATGCACTCTGTCTGGTGACTGGTGTTAGATATATACTTAAAGATAGTAGCATTATTGAAGAAATAGAAAAGGCGCGCGCGTGCTGTCATAAAGCATGGGGGGGTTAGCAGAACATGAGAGAAGTGTTAGGAGAAGCACAACGCGTAGCGGAGTGCTTCTGGACACTTCTCGAGTGTTCTGCCAATCCCCAAGTGCTTTATGACTGCACACAGCACAGCAAGCCAGCTTTTTATTTCTTTTATAAAATACAAATTACAATAATAGATAGGAATGAAGCAACGGAAAGTGCACGTGCATGCAATGTGCTCTCATAAAGCACACGCTACAAACCAATCAGAGCACAACATTCATAACAGTTATTTTATAATAGTATTCATACCCCTTCTGCTTCTAAGTAGAAGATTTTCTTCTTCAGCAAAGTTACAAGTTGTGATCTGAGGATTATTCCATGGAGGGTAATCAGTTGCTGTTCACCTGATGTCGACATGTCTGCTGTGACATTCACACTACTTGATGTAATTTGATTGTGATGGCTGTCCTCAGAATGTTCATCTACAAAGTAAAGGATTGCTTGAATTTATCCTTATTAAGCATGAAAGGCTGCTATCTTAGCAGTACCAGATAATAGTAGCTTTGCAATTGTTAAAATGTCATAAAAAAGGAAAATGTGAAGCATATACTTAAAAGCAATTTGTGAGTACTACATTTCACATGCAAGACTATGTAAAAGATGGCAACAATATTGAGCATTATTGAACATAACTATGTATATGTATGTCATAACAAGTGCAAGACCTATATCCATAGAGTTGGATGCTTCTTCTTCTATTCCTCCAAAGTTAAAATTGTGTCTAGGTCTAGCATGTTTCATGAATGACTCAGATGGAGCAGATGCAGAGTGTATGGAGCTGTTGGAGCTGTATCTGTCTGTACAGTCATGACGCTGTGGTTGCCTAGGTAACAGTCTGACTGTGCTTTCTACTTGTCCCAAGTCCTCTCCCTCATGGGGATCTTCTTGTGTTGCACTTCTTACTCTCTGTTCACTCAATACAAAAGACATAGTCTTGGATCTTGCATATTCCTCATTGCTTGATATGGGGTTACCAGGATAGTCATAATCCTTTGGGGTGAGGGGTAGGGCTTTGTCTACTGTCACTACTGGAAATGCATTATGGGCAGTGGTTTTTAGGATTCCAATGATTGAATGGACTCTTGTATGTGGATACAAGTATGACAAGCAGGATTCCATGATATGCTGGGCTTTTAATCTAATGCATGAAAGAGATACGATTATACAATAGTATCATAAGTAATACAATATTATACGAATGATACTGTATATACCAAAAAGTTCTGGTACTGGCTAAGTAATCTATGGCTGTTTTTGATACTTCTGTGACCTTCACAACTTTTTGACGCTGGGGTTTTGGCTCCCATAATCAAAGAACTTACTCAGGTACTTATAAATTTGATGAAAAAATTAAATAAAAAACAAAAGAATGTGTCCACCATCTGGATGCTGTTGAATGTGTCCAAAATACTCACTGAACTTATAGTTATATGAATACTTAATGATACTGATGACATACTTGTACATTTCCAGGGGAGCCGACCATTCCAGTAGTGGTATACTTTTGAGTTTGATGTGAATGTCATAAAGACCTTCATTAAACAAGTCACCAGACCACTTTGCTACCTAAAACATGCAAAGGTGTTATGACCATTTGTACACACTGAGAATTAAATAACATTTACTGCTTTACCATAAAAAAATAGTTAAAGAATAAACCTTACCATAAGAGTGATCATGATAGGCAGGCCATAGCTTATCTCATTAGTAGACTCAATCAAGATGACAGTCAGACTGATTGTCATTCTAACCACACCTCCAAGAAATGATGCAGCACCAATCAGTGCAAATGTACCATGATAGGTATGATCATAGTTGGCATAACTTAATCATGTAGCAAAGACAAAAAACAATATTTTAGTTATACCGGCTAAATGAGTCCTAATACATTTGTTACTCTTGCCTTCAGCCCTTCTCTTTAAAAATTCCTGTTTCTAATGAGGGAAATTGTGGATATTTTTGGAAGTAAACTTGCAAATGACTACATTTACCTTCTTAAAAGCTCACCAACAAATCTTCCATAAGATGCTCCACACAACAAACAAGGAACAAACAAACCACTTGGTACACTGGCACCATACGTCCAGCAAGCCAGGAAATAGAAACAGGTGAAAAATATGCCAAGAGAAGTAAGACTGAAGGCACCTGGAATTGTTCAGCACAGTAGGGTTAGTCACAATTGACAAGATTTAAATGATGTAAGTACCCTGTAGTGTATTTATGAGTCAACATACCATCTAAGTGGAATAGTTGTTTGATAGCACCTTCTTGAGAATTAAAAAATAATGTAGCCATATCATTGTACTCTCCTTCACTGCAGAAGTAGTTCTTTGTCTCATTGAGTGAATGTGTAACCTTTACGAATAAAGCAGAACAGAGGTTTTTGGCAGATTTCACTAATAGGATGGAGGATGGCTTGAGAAGCTATACATATATATAGCTTCTCATATCCTTTAATGCATTCTAATAAATTGGACCATGATTGTATGTTCAAGCTTGATGTTTGCTTACCTGAGGTAACTTCTTACAGGTACCAAGATATATTGGACAAAAGAATGCTATACATGTAGTTCCCAAAGCAACAAGAACAGCTTCAAGAAGTCTTGAAACAAAAATTGAAAAACTGATTACTTCCTGTGATGAAATGCATTACTAGAGGTGTTGAAGATTAGGACAATGATTTACCTTACAATCTTGCTTTTTGAGTTAACATGTAAAATCCTGTGCTTTGTGAGGTCTTTATTGAGAGCATTGAACCAAGCACCCAGAAGACCACCAACAAAACCCATCACAATAAAGATTAATAAATCTTGTATGTTCCATAAGTCACACTTTTCTCCTCCTTTTTTATTGCACTTAAAAAAAATGGATATCATTAAAACCAATGTCATCTCTACTAAAACAATAGTTTAAGTGTATCATTCTTCTATGGTTTCTGTAAGTTATGACACATGAACACTTGCCTCCAATTTTATATATGCTTTTGCAAATTACTAGATGTTAAATTATACTAAAAAGGAATATTATTATGCCTAGACATTATACCTGAAAGATTCCAAAATTGATCAAGCCAGGTTGATTGAATGTACCCCATCCGTATCCAGTGATCCCAGAAAGAAAAAAATTCAGAGTGAATGTTGCAGACATGGAGCAGAAGAACTACAGATGAAGACAAATATAACATAAAGGCTAGCCATACTAGAAAAAAACTTGTGTGAAGATACTTACAGTCCTCCAAGTGAGACTTTGATTCCAAAAAGAACTGCCTTCTTCAAGGCTGAAGAGAACACCTCCAATAGGAGCACCAAATGCAGCTGATTTAAATTAAAGATATATTATCAGCTAATAATTATTAAATTCAATAGACTGGATGTTAGTGATATTTACCAGCTACTCCTGCTGCAGCACCACCAGACACAAAATCTCTTTTATCCCTAAGTAAAAATATTATCATAAGCATTGTATATGTATATGTATGAATATCATCTATGTGAGTATGGGTATGGGCATGGGCATGGGCATGGGCGTGGGCGTGGGCGTGGTAAGTTACTTACCTGTCAGTTCTGAAGTATGGAAAGTTGAATTTGATTCTCCTGAAAGCAATACTTTGAAACTGCAGACAACAAGAAAAATTGAACTTTATAATTATTGTATAATGTTCAAATCATTGGAACATCAAAACCTGAGAAATACCTGAGGAACACCTGCACCAATTATTGCTCCACTGTGAATCATTGGACCTTCCTTGCCAACAAACAAACCTTTAGAAACAAATACACATAAACATTCAGAATATATTCTTTTCATCTATGAAGCTCTGGGCTAAAACTAAGGGCAGTAATATCAGTCACAGGTCATGATGACGAGCATAAACTTTAAAATAAGCACAGGACTGACCTCCAGCGACACTAAAAAGAACTCCAACAGCTTTGCTGATCAAAGTCTTGAGTCTCACAACATGAGGAACCTACATAGTAATTAATATAAACCACAGGTAACCCAAGTTAAAACCTTATGTTGTTTCAGGTGGGGTTTCATGATCAACATACTCACTTTTATGCCATTAAGATAACATTTTATTTCTGGAATGCCACTACCAGCTGCAACGGGCTGTAAAATATCATTTAGATGATAATTAAACAATGTTAATCTCAGGGGGGAGGGGTAGTGGGAGGTTGTAGACTTGATGGAGACTGGACTCCCTTAGAAAATAATCACATTTATCAATAATATTCTATGTAGTTCTGCAGCACTTTCAGTCATTAAGCCCTAAAATGACTACGATTAAAGGAAAGGAAATAATTTGTGATATAAAGAAACAAAGTAACATAACCAAAATAATACCTCTATGATTGTTAAAGCTGAAGCAATCATTGTAAATCCTACATTGAAGAGTAACATTATCAGTAGTGTAATAATCAGACAGCCAGCTGGTGTACAGTGCTTTATTGCTGATGTGTTCATTAAGGAGAAAACATTTAATAAGACACAATCTGCCATGACTATATTATGTTGCCAGTTTCAGCCACATTTGCAATTATCATGAGACTGAAATCAGTGTAAGAAAGTCTACTACTAATGATACAGGTTACCATTATCTATTGCACTATGTTTAAAAGATACATGTTTCAATGACACTGAACTTCCAATTTGTCAAATGTCGGACAAAAAAGTCAATAAACACTGCAACCTGAAAGAAAATAAAAATATGTATATATATATATATAACAACATTATTCTGTAATTTGATCTGTGATCTCATTGATTCATTTATGATAATGTAGTCAATAAATCTTACCAATCCTGTTAAAACTCCAATTATAAATGTGACAATCCATCGCATAAGGTTCTGATGAACTAGAGGCTAAGATTAAGAAAAAAAGGTACCACTATGGATTAACACAAGTTTTGTCAGTCATAAGTGAGATGGCTTTATTCGTTAATATGTATCCCTGTATCCCATGATTATTCTATTGTATTGTATTATAAGAAGCCAAGGAAATATTTTAGTACATTTATGCTTAACTGTTTTACATTACTAAGAGCAACTGCACTTCAAGAGGCAGATGGAAACATACCATTGTTTCTTTTGACTTCATCATCTCAGAAAAGGGATGATTGTAACAGACATCATAGTCAAGACTCTGTAGAAAAAAAATGATTTCATTTTTGTTGTTGTTTCATTTCTTTAACCATAATATATTAAAAATTATTTACTGCATGGATTATCATTATTTTTTACCTCATAATCTTTTCTTGGCAACTCCTTCTTTTGTTGAGAGTGTAATGTTTTCTTCATTTCCATTCCCTTCATGATATAAACAACAACATATACTCATATAATCATTTCAAGAAATCATTTGCAACCATCATTTTTTCGGGGGCCAACAAGCACCCTAAAAAGTGTGTGTGTGTGGGGAGGGGGGGCTAAGATTGGAAAATATATGAGACTAGTACGGGAAAACTTGGGGGGCTCAGATTGGAAAATATAAGAGACTAGTATGAGAAAAAAGGAAAAAAGTAGGGGGGCCACACCCACTGGGCAGGCTGCCCTCATAAGTGACCCCTAGACAATTCAAAAAGAAGTGCTTGTTAAATAATGCTGTGTGTTTATGATTGTATAGTGTTAGAGCATATTCATTTAGGGATATTAGGGATCAGTCATTGTTTAGAGGGTTGAGGGGGTAGTGCAAATATGGGGTGCCTCAACAATAATTGTTGGTCAGGTAGAAAGGGGGGGACATATATATTTGTGCAAACAGAAAAGCGTCTACATTTAGGCTTGTATGCAGCTGAGGGGGATACATTCAGGGGAGAAGGTTTACAATAAGGGGAGGTCAGGAAAAAGAGACCTCCCTTAATCGCATGTATATCTTGTATATATTTCGATTTGACCTTCCTCGAGAACTACAATGCAAAGAAAATCCCAATTCAACATCTCATTATATCTACATACAACTCCATATCCACACCCCCCTCAACTATTATAATATGATGTTTCTATTTGAAGTCGTAGTAAAGGTATTTCATTTCAAAGAACTGGCGCTTCTACATTTAAATGGCGATAGCTTAGAGAGTGTTCTTTATCCAGCCTTTTATGACTGTTGATCCTTTCAGATGACACCGTCCGTACAGCTTGGTGCTATCAGTGATTACTGTCCGTCTTGCAAAACAAAACAAAATATGTCACATCTTACCATTTCTTGATAATCCTTCCTATCTATGTCATTAATAGAAGCCATGGCTCAATAACTAAGCTATTTCCAACGTTTTAATTTAGAAATCTGACTAGGAAAAGCTTGATTTATTCAGCTTCATCCTGTTTGCTGCTACAAAATCCTTGTGAAGTGCATTATCTAGCAGGCGTTGCTTGCAGTAGCAGGAAGGAATCGCCTATTCCTGGGTCTAGTTGCTAATCGAGGAGACGGTCTTTCTTCTTTTTATCGAACGCATTTTACTTTGTCGATCAAATTCACCCGAAAAAACACCTTCTTTCTTCTCAATCAGCTTTTAAAATGTTCTTGATAAATAGGGATTTCATTTGAGAAAGAAAATGTTAAGGTAAGAGTAACTTTCTTGTTTCGAAAAAGCAATTTTTCCATCGAATGTTGGCAGACAGTTCTGTGCTTTGTTCGAACTTTATAAAGAACGTCAATGGCGGCTAATTTTCTTTTCTCATTTTTGCCTCACGGAAGCTTTTCTTCCTCTTTCATTATAATTTTGAACTTCTCACCGATCTTCGCTGTTGAAGATTCTCTTTTTTTGATAATATATCAATTCCGTTTTTGTTTTATTGAGTTCAAACGCTTAGAAATTTTAGCTTATGTTGTTGTGAGCATTTTGTACTAGGCCAGACTAGTGGAATAGTTCGATCCATATTATTTAGCGGCAGCAACTCAAATCACTACAATGAATCATTCCACCTATACAAGCCTGAAATCTTTTCTTCACACGACGTGGTCTTTCTTTGTGTACATGGATATTGCCCAAATATTCGCGAACAAAGATTATGCACTATTATTATTATTATGGTTATTATGTACATAAAGGCCACACACATTGATCGCGGTATATAAACCTGTATAATTGATTTTATTGTGGTAATTTTGTACGACAGTCTTTTATGTTTTCCTCATGATAGCATTATTGCACTGTTCGTTTTCTCTTTCAGTGATAATCTTGATGAAAGCAGGTAGGGAATGTTCCATGTCAGATATCTTATCAGAAAATATTAATTACTTAAAAAAAATACTTAATTTTTCCTGTTCAAATAAACGTGGCCTAAGAATAACAGACGTATACCATTATGAATACGATCAGACTAGGATTATGATATCATTAATTTTGATTTATCAATGTTTAATTCCATTTTTTGCTCCATATGTCAATAATATTTTCTTAATGTCCTCTATCTCTGAGATATTTCATATTCACTTGCAATACAATACCTGTCCTTATAAGGGCACTAAACAAGAAATATCTTTCATCATCTGTTTAGAGATAGAAACCTTTTCATCAAGATCATTATTAATTTTTCTTATGAGGGTGTATGTAAGTTGGAAAGTAAGGGAGGAGGGGGCAATAGATACAACACACGCTGGGGAATCATAAATCTTGTTGAAGTAAATGAGAAGCACATGGGAAGGGGGGGGGGGGGGGGTTGGGTGAGGGACATGCAAAATCCTTGTTTTTCAAGGACAGCACAATACAAAACATAATATCCTAAAGACATGTTTTTATGCTTTTTTCTGAGACCATTTATATGATCTTTGTCTGTACTAGGTAGAATCAAGAAACAGAGTTACAAGATGGCTACCACCAGCACAAAAGAAGAAGATTCTGATGGATCTGACAAGGTAGAGGCAAGAAGAACAGGTTGTGTGGTTCATCTTGTGTCTCCTTATGATCCACCACCATCTTCTACCCCAGAGGAGGCAAGCCAAGATCAGGTATATGGTCACAAGTGTTATTAGGGATTGATTGTGAGTCTGCTAAGGATCTCCAAAGCAATGACTGATTATAGGAACGCAAACTCTAAGAAAGAAAGCTTTAATAATAATTAAAAAAGTAATGAAAGAGAGATGGATAGAAGGTGGGAAAGATGGATGGATGGATGAATAATGATGAAAATGTCTGTATTATTGTTAATGTTAAGGTTTCAGAACTAGCTGAAGCTGAAGAAAAGACAACAAACTCAATGGATCAAAAGCAAAACCGCCAGCAACGTGTCTTTAATATGATGAAAAACCTGCAACAGTTTCACCTGGAAGATTTGATGCAAACTGAAATGGTTGGCAGGGAAAGTCTTGATATGTCTGAAACACAATGTATTTGTCGAATATGCCATTCAGCTGGGGAAGAGCCATTAGTAACTCCATGTCAGTGTGCTGGTTCAGCTAAATATGTCCATGCTCATTGTCTTCTAACATGGTTTAAAAAAGCCGTAAAGAATACATGTGAGCTGTGTCGATGTAAAGTGGCTATCAAGAAAAAAAGTAAACCATTAGCTGAGGTATGAAACAAAAAAGATATATTCCCAGATTAGACTTTAATTCTAGCTCCTGAGACCTGAAATCTCTGATTTATATAGCACTTTWACTTGAACATGGTACGCCTTGGTTCATGTTACTGGTCTGGATGTTTTTATGGTGAGGTTAAGTTTTCTAGCCAAAACTCTTTTAAGGGAAGCACAGGTGGTGCAGAAGTGAGAGAGCTCACCTCTCACCATTGTTCTAGCCCAGGGTCATTTACCTGTGATAAGGTAGAATTTCTAGTTGGTTCTCTCCTGTGTTTCAAGGTATTTTCTTTTGGTTCTCTAGTTTTTCCTCTCTGCGAAAAATTAACTTCTGAATTCAAATTCCAATATGGAACAAGGGGCCACAGTTTTGTTAACAACTGGCTATTAAATACTTCCCTCATAAAACAAGGATAATTTATTTAATATCCATGCATGTCTTTTTTCATGCTGTTGATTATTGGATTTTCTTTTCAATATTGCAGTGGAGAAAGCCAGAGGACAAGCCCATACCAGTTATCTGGTTCCTAGTTTTCCTGATTGGACTATTTCTCAATGTGTTTTCCATCTCTGTCAATGCTTCAGAACTGTGTACAACCACAGCTTGTGTGATATTTTATGTTGTAAATGGTTTTGGTGTTGTCTTGGATGCAGCTTTTCTTTATTTTTGGTGGACTAAATGCCTGTTTTACTGGAAAAAATGGTGTGCACTGAATCAAGATTGGTCAATAGCATCCTGCCCACTTCAGGCTACAGCTGAGCGTCCAAATGAGGAAAGAAGCCTTCGAACTCTCCAAATTTCAGATATTGTTTAAATTTATTTTTGCTCTTAAGAAGCTTACATGTAAATATAAAAGATTAGTAGATAAATCCCTAAGATCCCTCTGTCTTGTTTCTTTAGTCACTAACTGCTAATGTTCAAAGTTGATCTGTTGAGTTATAGTTTTTATTCCTTGTTCCTATTGGATCAGCATAATGTTTCTTTTAACATGTAAAACCAAGAAAGATGAACTTAAGTTTTTCTAGATGGACAGTTAAGATCAGGTTTTTGGCTTCATTAATATACGTTTTCAGTAAATATTGTACCATTTTTTGGAGTGACTGCCAGAATACCTCTTCTGGATCTTATCTATTTTGAATCAATTAACCTGTAATGCTGTATATAACTAACAACGACTGCTTGATCTTGGAATCTTAGTATAAACAATAATAGCCACTCAAGATACTTCACTCTAACATGAAGCTTGAGTACTGGAAGGGAATACCATGCAGTGTGAGTTGTCTGTTGCGTAGGGATAGCGTCTATTTTGTGTAGAATAACCATGTGTTTCAGTGAAGGTCCATGGAATTTCAAAGTGAATTGTTGAAGTTGTGCATTCTTTACTTTACCATTGGTATTGATGAACATTTTGACGTTGAAATGAGGCTAACCCTGAGTAAATAACACAACACAACAGTATTGTATGAATTTGAAAATGTAGGTATATTAGATACAGTATTTCAAACAAAATGATGTACATAATTAGAATTTAAATTGATAAATTTAACTAAATATATGTAACTTTTAATGAAGGTGTAAATACTTAACTGTACAGATGTAAAATAATTGAATTAGTGGCAGTTGGATGATAAGAACAGGAAGAATGAAGATTTAGATAAGACCAGGGGGAATGGTAAGCCTTACTCTTTTAGAGAAGTATTAATAAATAACTTAATGTTTAATGATGATCTCTCAACCAATATAATATCCAACTAACTTCTATTTTCATGCTTATATCTTGTGTTTACTTGAATACCAAAAATGTCTGCATTGACCTAAAAATGACGACTGGTCAGCCCATTGGTCATTTTTGCTCTGTCATATCTTGTTTCTGGTTCAATGGTATTAGGTCAAAATGACTGAGGCACTTCAAAGCAAAAGGTTTGACTGTACAATATCCAAAGCTGGCTTCCTGGACATTGTCTGACCAGCCATTATTTTTAGGCTTGTCTCCCTCATTCAATACCAACACAAAGTACTGTTCTCTTATTCTCGTTTTATTTATTTCCCATCCACTTTTCGTTTATTAACAATGAGGTTTTTTTCCCATAATTCAAGTGAAATGCAAAATAAATTTAAAGTAAACTTCATTGTATATAGGCATGATCCTATAGAAATAAGTTATTATGTTGTAAATAAATATATAGTCTATTGACCTGTGTTTCCATAGTTTTGTGTAAAATGTTAGATATAATTATCGTATATGCCACCAACATGGCTTACACAAAGCAATAACATGTTAGTGATAAAGAGTACATTTGCAGTTATGACAATCTCTAATCATCACCACAAGTATGGCAGTGCAAAGTCGAACAGGATTGAAATGAAAGCAACAATGAGAAGGCACCTCTTGAAGAAGCTATACAGTCTATGTATGTAATGACCCCAGAGCGAAGCTCTAACCACTTTGAATTTGTTAGGGTTGGTTGTGGGAAGCATGCATGGGTGGTGGCTGAGCAATGATAGCTCTCATCGATGCAACCTGGGTTCGATCCTCAGACTTGTATGATGTGAGTATAGAGCATTGGGTCAATTTCAGAAGTCGATGTGTTGAAAAATAGGAGTGGGCTTCCTGTGGTAGAAATATTCGAAAGAGGACTAGGGACTAATGGGATTTCTTTTCACGTCTAGTTGTCTGTTCGTTTACTAGAAAAAGTCTTTACTATTTTTGTGTCTAAAAGAATTGTGCGTGTTTACCATGCTTAACCGTAGGATATTTAGAATGCTTACTATAATTATGTTGTTATTTCTGTCCATCTGTCTGTTGTGGTGGCTGACATTACGACCGTCTGTTGATGGGATTTTACTTCAGTCTCTGATCACAAAGAATGCAAGTTTTCCAATTATAAAACCTAGTATTACGCCAAGACTTATCAAAACGAAGCTATTTGTACTGGTAATTGTTTCTTCTGCTCCTGCTGGCGTGAGTATTGAAAGACGACATGTTATCAGAAATACTTGGGGCAATTTTGACTTGTACAATGGTCCAAGAACATGGAAGGTGGTATTCATGTCTGGTAGAACTGGCGATGAAGAAAAAGACAAGACACTGTTTTCTGAAAGTAAAAAATATGGAGATATTTTAATATGTGACTACAAAGATGATTACAGCAAGATAACTACAAAGCTATTGTCTTCCTTTCAATGGGCTGCCAGTGTTAAAGATTTGTATGGGTTTGAATATTTATTGAAAACAGATGATGACATCTACATAAGTATTCCAAGACTATACCAATGGATAGACACTAAAGGAGTTACGATGAATCATGTATATGCAGGCAACACATATTCTAATTATGTTGTGAGAGAGAAAAATCACCGTCATTATGTTAGTAAAGAAGATCTCCCTTATGACATATACCCTACCTTTTGCAAGGGGTCAATGCTCCTGCTATCTGGGTCACTCATTCCTAAGATTGTCAAGTTAGCAAGGAAAGTCAAGAGAATCGTTCCTGATGATGCTTATGTTGGACTGCTAATGAATGAATTGAATGTTAAAGCTGTGCAGATGAAAGGACTGGTACAGCATTCCTTCTTGTCCTATTTTCTCCCATTACTAGGGCCATGTCACTTCCAAAATGTTATAGGAATGGGTGATTCCTTAACAACACAGCAAATGTTTCACCTTCACAAACAAATGTTTTTCAAAATCCAAGACAAGTCTTCATGGCTTTGCATCCAACGCTGGCTAAAATTACTTTTTGCAACAATGTTTTTATTTATTCTTTATTCCCTTTTTCTAAAGTCTAGATTTCTATCAATGTGTAAGGCTGTATGTAAGTTAACCAAAGTGTTACGTGTAGTACCAGCAAGGCATTGGGCAAAAAAGAAAAGCAACTATAACAATTAGAAGAAAATTTTAATATTTATGACATTACTGAGTAAGAGACTGTGATATAGCTAGCAGTAATATTCTTTATTTGTCCAAACTCATTCATTAAGCACCGTATAGGTGTGCAAAATTTATTTTGGTTGATTGTTACTTAAATTGCCATAAACCAGAAATCTATCTGACATTCCAATAATAAAAGGTGGTTGGCACATCAAATCACTATGACAATGCCTATTATAAACATTACTAGGTGAACATGACATATGTAGGACTAACGTCTGAAACGTCAGTCTATTATCTTTCGTATTTACAGTGATAAAATTATCCACTACGACACATTTGTTTCAACTAAAAAACACTGACGCAGTCCAAACTAGTTCCAAAACTAGTCGTTATCTACATATTTATGACATATATGAAGCCTGTCTAAGTATTCAGATATCAAGATCATCATCTGGATCATCCTCATCAAAGTCATCAACATCATCTGGTTGATAGAATATCTGACTCTCTTTTCCTGCCAAAGGTTCAGAGGTGTTTGTATGGTGCATGTAAGGTAACTGTGTATTGGCTCTTGCTTGCTCTTCTTGCTTCGTGAGTTTTAAATTAAATGGAAGATTAGCAGTTGGATCTGCCTATGGAAGGAAAGATTATCATTACATTAATGAAATATTTTTTGTTTGAGTGAGAGAGGTGAACATTAGAACACTTACTTCAGGCTCGCTGATCTTTAATATTTCTGGTTTCTGTGTCCAATCTTCCTCTTGGAATTCCTTCACTTCAAACTGCTGATTCATTAAAAATCTTTGTCTCTAAGATAGATGGAAGAAAACGGGGGTCAATAAAATATTTCTGAAAATTGTAATGCTCAACAAAAACAGTTATGGATAACATTATTGTAGTACCTTTTTTAATACTTTTCCTGTTCTCCTGATATGTAGTACTTTGCAATAATTTTCCACCTCTTCTGACTGACATCCTTGAGCAGGATCTTCAAAAAAGTAATGCAATTCATCTTATGAATTAAAACAAACATATACAATCATATCCAAAATCTCAATAGACTGGTTGATTCAGGGGAACTGAGTGTTTTCTCGTTAAAAGTTCAGTATACACTTAGCCAGACAATTCTAGTGATAATTCGTCAGTGCAGAACATCATCACTCAAAGTTCGCATATTTAGACTCCTTTAGGTCTCAGATTTCAGATCTCCTTTCTGAAATAGGTGACAGTATAATAGGTGTATTTATATGGACTTTTAGTTGTAGCACTAACCTGTCTGGGATTGATCTAATGGTGAGATCTGGAGAATAGAAGTTGCTATTGAAACAAAAGCATGCACGATGTGGTTTTCATGGAGATCAGAGTGAACAACACACACAATCTGCTCCACCTTATATGCTGATGACAAGAGAAAAAACATTGATTATCTTCAGTACAGGTGGGTGTAGGATGAAGAAATTTGTTTTGTTTGATTCTTATTTAAATTGCCAACAAGAAATCAATTGGACAAGCTAATAAAGCAAATTTTACTTTAATGGTTTTACACAGCAAAAAGAAAAGAAAAGCTATAGGGAGACCTGAAACAGGAAATAACTTCCCTTAAAGAGCAGGTTACCCAGCAAAGTGACAAAACCTGATGTAAAAATGGTTGACACATTAACATCACTTGATCACAATGTTTATATGAACATTGGTCCACATATAGATCACTAAAAAATCAAGCTCTAAAATAAATTGCTACTTACCAAGCACATTTTCTGCAGCTTTACTTTGTAATAACTGGTGTAGCATCTGACATGTATTTGATACAGATTGTAGTATTAGGTTACTTACAGAATCCATTGCTATGGCAACCTTGAGTTGCTCACCTGTTAAACAATCACATATAAAAATAGATATTTATATAAACTTAATCATGTCAATTATTCTCAATCAAAGGGCTTATTGATCATGTTACCATTTTGGTTCAATGAGCATCTTTTGTTAATTGCCTTTCTTATTGTGTTTATAAGGTCGGAGTCATGGTGGACTAGATGATTCTGTTCATCACTGTGAATTGCAAATATAACCATAAATAGATTTAGATGTTGCATGGAAATCAAGTATTTCAATTCCTGTAACAAATCATGCAAATGTTAGGATTCTTCACCCCTTGGTGACCAATAAAATTATATAATAATAAAATTGAAAGTTTTATTCCAAACTTCTTTCCATTCATACCTTTCCTTATCTTGATTCCATTTTAGGTAGTCAGTACAGGCATCAAAACACTCAACCCTTTAAAGGACAACAATCCAAACCAATTAATATACATATGAAAATCAGCAAGAAGTTCAAGATAAAACAGGTGATAATTAAATTACCTGGATTGTAATTCAGCATCTAATGACTTGAGAAATTTGCTGGGTGGATGCTCATAGCAGACCAAACAGACCAGATCCACCCTGAAATGAATTAAATTGTATCACTTTGCTATTGGAAGAGGGCAGTCTACACCAGCAAAATATGAAATAAAGAAGAGCTGTGGGGAAGGTGGGGTGGGTCAGGTAAACTTTTGTATGTTGTGTCCATGCAGCTTACATAGGACTGAACGTACTATAACTAAAGCTAATGTTGAGTGGCCTATGTCTTGTTTTTAATACCTGTCAAGGAGAGACTTTACGAAACATAACAATAGTGGTCGTGCACTTGCATCTATGGTATCTGAAAAGATAGAACTATATGAATATATAAGACAACTTTTGCATAATTAAAACATTGGGAAAAAACCAACCTTGAAGGACTATAAGGTTTGATATTTCTTTTCCACTAAGCAAATTACCAAGCAGCATGATTATAAGAACATAAACAAGTCATCAAGAAGCATTACAAAGAGCAAAAGTTTGTTTTCGCCGCCATACTCGAGCCTGCTAATTTACTTGTCAGTGGTCTTACAGTTAGACTTTAGACCTCCGCGGTCATCTACTTTGGAGAGAGACTAGGGAGCATGGTAACAGGAGTCCATAGCAACGCAGATGTTGCATTGCGATACAAGTAAATAGAACGTCCAGAAGCAGAGCACTAGGACGCATTGTGATAAATCTTACAAAATATCTTGAGATGTTTAGCGTTGATAAGTACGATGATATTAAGTGGGGTCTGCCCGGCTGGAGAATTGAACAACGATACAAAAATGATGTTCTGATTGGCAACTGGAACGAAGAAAGAAGAAAAGTAAGCAATGCTTTCCTTGACCTTTCTTGAAACCATGCTTATCCATTGAGCTTGTTATTATTCGTTATAATTCACTGATTATTTCCTCTTTGAGTTTCTACCTTTTTGATGTATGGGTCGTAATCAAAACTACTAATATTATTAAGTTCTTTTTTTACTTCTTGCAAATTAGCTAGAAATTACTCCTACAAGCATGTGGTCAAGTTGTATATATTACATTAATGAAGTGAATGTTCTTGTAGTTTGAAAGAAGCAAGTCTCATTTTAATAGTACTCAAAGGACAGACTTCAAGAATTATGGCAAACAGCTGCCCGATGTAAAAACCCGCAGAGAGGTAAAGCTACAAACTGAGGTGAGTTTACCTTGTTTTGCTATTCAAAGGCCTTACTGATAATAGATGGATCATTATCTTAGATGCATGTAATTTTTTTTCAGGGTCTTGGAAAACAATTTTTATTTTCTCACCATGGAGATGCATATAAGGGCAATAGAATCACATGGTATGACCAGCAATTCAATAAAAGAGAAGTGACTGAAAGTGAATTCAAACCACTAAGGACTTGGGAAAGACAGCGTCTTGTATGGGCTCCGGAGAAATCAGATTATCCCATTCAAGGTGAGCAATAACACACATGTTGACAAACATTCTAGAATTAGAGACTTACCCTTGGCTACAAACTTATGCCCTGATGTCATGGAGGATGTGGTTTGAGACTGTTTAGGACAGTGCTGCAAGAGGGTCCATCTCAAATGGGAAATCACAGCTATGCACTTGCCCCCTCATTTTCTACAATAACATTTTTTTAAACAAAAAATATCATCAAGATTATTATCTTGTCAAAAAGGATTTAGATTTGTAACAGCTTGTTATGGATCAACAAATCAAAAGATGTAATTTCTTCTGCAGGATCTCCTACGAATTTTGGTTTACTTGAAAAGAAGCAAGAACAATGGAAAAAAGAGGCAGAGCTAGAAGACCTTAGTATCTATGCAACAACACAACAACTGAGCTTTATTCCCCATCAGCGCAAGTGTTACTCCTATCGACGCTTCGCACCACCAAAGTTCATATCAAGTAAATTTCACCCTCATCACGTGAACAAGGACTTACATCTTAGAGACAGTAAATACCTATCTGTCTGTGAGTACCCACCTGTCCTTGCCCCAGTAATTTAGCTTCCCAATTCAATCCTGCTTCTATATATTCTCAATTTAGTTTGTTAAGTTTTGAAATTATTATTTTTGAGAACAATAGATAGAGTGCACGCACTAAACCTATGAAACAAATACTAACTTTTAGTACTAAATGGTGATAAATAAACAATAGAAAACAAAGGATTCTGTATGAAATAGTACTAATTAGTACTAATTAATGTTCACTGATTTAGTGTGTGCACTCTAAATGGAATCTAAAAAATTACACAAAAATATTTTAAAAAATCATTAAAGTTTATTATTTCAAAATGAAACTTGTTTCACAACATACTTTTATTACATACTGTCAAATGAAAGCACTACAAATACCATTTTGATTGTCCATAGTTTGTGGTCAATATGATCTTTGTAATAAGCTCTTGCTGTTCACCGACCCATATTTGCACTTATAGAGCACAAATATAAAATTTTAAGTTTTTAAATTATCTGTTAAAGTTTTAAAGATATTAGTTTGTGAAAAATTTATTTCCAATGAGAGTTTGGATATGATACTAATAAAAAAAAGTTTTTGCAACAGTATGTTTCATAAATACAAATCTAATGGACTCTCAAAAGTATCACTGATGCAAGGCTAACATGGAAATACAAAAGAAATGCCACAAATTCCATTGAAAAAAGTGTGATTTCTTTTGTATTTCGGTGTAAGCCTCCAATCCTGGATACTTTTAAGAAGCGTTCATTCTCACCCCAATACAAAAAGTAGATCTAGAACTGCTGACTTGCATGGTAAACTCATGTAAAATATAATAATTAAAAAACCCTTGCAAAGATTTGCAAAATGGAGAAGTTCTGGATTGTATTTATTCATGTTTTTTTATTTTTATTTTTGTCAACATGTTGTATTTACCCGGAAACAATATTTCAAATACTCTATCAACTATAATTGCAGTCAAACCCCAAACTCTCTGAGATCCACCACTCCGAGGGAATACTGGCATTCTTGATCCTGTCTTGAATTTTGTGAACCTTCTGTGTTCTAGTGCATGCTTTATCTCCATAGTAAACACTTCTGAAACCTAGAATAGCACCCATTTCCTCAGATTATTTCAATTATTCCCTCTACATCCGTCACTATAGGGACTTCTCTTTTCATCGCTTAAAAATTTTGTCTTGAAAAATTAGTAAACATAATTGAAAGAACTCTGTCCAGAATCACTGCAGTCAAACCCCATATTCTAAAAGACCCTGTGAAATAAACTGGTCTTTTGAATATGCCATGTTTCAGTTTGTGTTTCGTATATCGCTGACGCTTGGGATGACAAAGGTCTTCCAAGAAAGCTGTAAACACTAGAGACACCTATAAAAAGTTTGAAGAACTTGTTCATTGACTTAGATCATATACAACTAGTAAATGATAGTAAATGATTGAACTGAGACCTTTTAATTGTTTTTATTGGTATTGCTGGTTTGAATTTTTTTTTTTAATTACACCGCAGCCATATGGATGGTATAACAACAGACCAATGACAAATCTTTTTTTTTTCAATTCATTCAACATGGCAGCTATGAAATCAGTAGTTATTCTCTGACTGTAACTTCTTACCTCATTGTGATTGAATGGAATACTTTTGACATCAACTTCACCAAGAAATCCCAGTACTGGTGTTATTGCAATCCTCACTAACTGAAATGTAAAATGATATAAAAATGACAAACATGCATGTGGGAAGGGGAGGGGTGAGACCTAAGACCTAAAACAACAATACATATTACAGCTAAGAATATTGGAGAAATAAAAGAGTATGGGTGGAGGCATAAATATCAAGAATGCCCTACCCTGTCCGGCATTGGTGTGAGAGGTGCCCATATTTCTATTTGGTTTGACTCTATTCCAAGTTCTTCTACTGTCTCTCTTACTGCTGTCTCCACAATGCTCTTGTCTTCTTTGTCTCTCTTACCTCCAGGAAAACTAAATAAATAATGCTTCATTACTGACAATTTAAATATGTGATCAACAGGCAGATAAATAACCATAACAATGCGTTAACCTGAGTATCAGGGCCAGGGGACCTGGGGAGGGGGGAAGAGTAGGAGAAGGAGGCTCTTCCTTCTCTCTCTCTCTCTCCTCTCCTGCTCGTCCACCAGAGAGCCTGATACTCAGGTTAACAATGGATTAGAGTTAGATTCATACAGTTCAAGCAAGGTTGGGCTGAGCTTGCTGCATCTATTAACAACTTCATATTGCATACCTGACTTCTCCTCTGTGTTTGAAAAGTGAACTTGACCTCAAAGTAAAGAGTAAGGATGGCTTGTTATCTACAGTACAGAATGGTACAAGAACAGCAGCTTCTGACTTACAGCTTTCTATTAGTGTCTTTTTAGGCTTCATTCGTTTTAGGTCATTTATCACTCTGGTTTTGTTCTTCTCGTTAAGTGCATTCTCAATCTCATAAGATGGTATATAGGTACCATAATATCTATGTGTATTCAGTAATAAAGACGTTCTGAATATTCTTGAGTTCAAAGTACAAAATTGTATCTCCTTTGCCTTTGATGCTTTCAAAGTTATTCGTCTAAGTGATGGCAAGAAAACGCACGTCCTTGATAACGTCTGAAAAATAGATCCATCCATGGGAATAATCTTTGATACAGTCTTTGTAAGCATCATTAAAGGTAATTAAGTTAATTAGTTTTCGTCTCCATAAAAAATTATTTTCCAAGTGTTTTCAAGTCTTGATCTATAATTACTTCTTAGCCATGATATCACGCTGTAACTACGTATTCTTTGTTCCTCTTTATGGTTCGTCTTCTTTTCTTTACCCTTCGTCCGCCATTTTGAATATCATCTGTTCCCAGTCTCTTGTCGGTTGTTTGTTTTACTCGTTCCCAGTCTCCCCAGCGCCCGGTATCCAAGATGGCGGTCACAAGAAGAACCGTAGAGCTATTTTATGATGTTCTTTCTCCTTATTCTTGGGTTGCGTTTGAGGTTAGACCATCAATACATTTTCTAATGTTAGAATAGGTCATAGACATGTCCTCTTGTTAAAATATATAGCAGTATTATGACACACGGAGCATCTTGTCTTCAATATAAACCCTGTCGTGTTCTCTAGGTTCTGTGTCGTTACCGTCCCGTTTGGAATTTAGATTTACAGTTTCGTCCTTTTTTCCTTTCTGGAGTCATGAGTGCTACTGGTAGGTATTGAATTATTAAACGTATTTTATTAGCTAAGCAGTTGTTTCGTAGTGATTCTATTATTATAATAGTAAGCTTAATAATAGTATTTCTTCGATTGCACGTTACGTCATAGCAGCCTTTCGGGGGAGCGTTGGTGCTATGGGACATCAGTATTTGGTACTTGGAGACAATCTAGGACCTTTTAACATCTGCAATAACTGGAATACATTTACAGTGCAACTACCGTAACTGGGGCCACTTAGGTCATTTAAGAAGAGAACCACAAGAGAACCAATGAAAATGTTGAATGAAAACAAGGCATTCCAACTTTGGGTAGCTGAACCAATCTGAAACCTAGACAGGACAAGAATTGTAATTTGGACCTGATATTACGTATAATTGACTAGACAGCCTTCATCATTTTCTCATGGAAATAAGAAGATATGTTGAAAACTATTGTTTTCAGCTGCTTTTTGATTTGCTCCATTGCCCAATATTTGATTGCATTGTTGTTGCTGTCTAGATAGTCTTGGTTATCGTAGTCACACTGTAGAACATTCAAAACCCTATGTAAGATATTAAAAGTGTATTTATGATGATGTTGTCATAGGAAACAAACCTCCAGGAGTGATCCCAGCCAAGATGTTGTACATGGCGACAGACCTGAAGAGGTGTAGAGAATATTATGGAATACCACTTGCCCCACTGAAAGTATGTTAATTTACCTCAATTAAAGACAGAAAATTGAACAGAAAAATTATTCAAAATGGTTCTGTATTTTGAAATCTTCTTCATGCCATAAACCATACTCCCAAACCCAACCCCACTCCCTGTAATGCTTATACATTTATATATATTTCCATATTTACTTCAGGATCCTGTTGATACTCTTTTCAATAAAGGTGAGTGATTGCTCTTCAAACCTTGGAAGTAATTTTCACTCTTTAGCATTATTTTGATTTACATACACAAAAGTCATGCTCTTTTCTTATTCACTTGAAAAAATAGTTATGATAGTACTGATGTCCTTGATTTGTTTATTGTCTAGGATCTTTGTCAGCTATGCGTCTTTTAACTGCCACCAATGTGTCTCATCCTGATAAAACAGAACATTTATCAAGGGAGTTATGGATGAGAATCTGGTCTAGAGTGAGTAAACATATTCTATCATGTACTTTCCATATGTTTTGACACCATATAATTATCATTGTCATTATTATTGTCACAGGATGAAGATATAGTTCTTCCAGAAAGTCTGAAAGCAGTAAGTAGTATTTTCTGTGCATCTTTTTCTCTCAGTGGCCGTTCCTAAGTTTCATTTTATCCCATTTTTTCAGGCTTGCCTCACAGTTGGCTTGAGTGATACCCAGTCATCTGCTCTTCTCAGTCGCCTGTCAGATAAAGATATCAAAGACAAGCTTAAGGAAGTGACACAGAAAGCGATAGATGCAGGGGTAGGTATGGACAGTTTATAAAGCAGCTGAAAGCCATGGTATTTGATTTTGTTTTTATCATCATGATGTTAATAAGATACCTGATGTTAATAAGATGTTTGGTCTCTTTTTCAGTCATTTGGTGCTCCGACTATTATAGCTCATCTAAATGATGAACAACACATGTTCTTTGGTGCAGATAGATTTCTGTTTCTTGCTCATCTATTTGGTAAGTCTATGGCACCAGCCAGAAATAACTCTCAAAAATAAGGTTGATAAAAAATGGATAACTGGTGTTGAGCACAGAACCAATTATTTCAGTGTATTATTGAAACTAGGTGGAGTTGGCATTCCAATGCACTGTTGAACTGTTAGGGGATATATTTTCAAGATGGTGATTATTTTATCCCCTAAAACAGTCTCACAATGCACTGCAATGCCAACTTGACTAGTTTTTTTTCTCAACCTCAAAATGGCTAATATTGATTGATGTTTTCTAGGTGTCCAGTGGCAAGGGCCATTGAAACCAGATAAGTCATCTTTATAGGATGCTGTGTCAACTCTACGGTGCCCCTTTTGTATACCACTGGTTGTTTGCACGTCACATGCTTGGTGACACTTGCAATTTTTTATGAATGAACAACCAGCAGTCATAATAGGGTTTAAAATAATGGCTGCACATCAGAAAGTGTCCACCCAGAATTGGAACTTGTCTGGTCAAATCTAGGGCTTGCCAGACATTTTGAACAGTAACATTGAGCCAGAAGCAAGGTAGACTGAACTAAGACTATTGACTAGTTACCTACTGGCTGTTATTTTAAGCCCTGCATAATTCACATAATATTGCAGCTTTACCATGATCAATGCAGAAAAGAAAAACTTTCYCTTATTTCTATATTCTTTGGTGTCTCTTAATTAATGTTTCACCTTAGAATATCAGTAAGGACGTTATGTCATGAATGAAAATAAAATGTTATATCCCCTCCCCCCTAGTCAATATGACTGTGTTAAGGGAGGGGAGGGAAGAGTTCAGTGTCATGTTTGAAAATGAACACGTTGCACAAACACTTTGCATTTACCGAAAAGCATATCAAATGTGTCGTAATGGTTAATAGGAATATCTGATCATTATCTAAGCATCTTATCTCGTACAACAGCCTTCAGGGAAGCTGGAATATGAGGTGCATTTGTCTGAGGAATATAATATAACAAGAATTTGAAGTCACATTGTTATATCATTAACCTGGCCCACATGGTCCTTACCCCTTTCCGCTTAGGAAAACAGGACTTCCCAAGGGGTAGACGACAGGAATATGTGTTTTCTTTTGATATCACTTGTACAGCATACATCAACCCTCCCCCCAAGGGAAGAATTCATTCCTAGACGGAGAAGGAATGATGCGAATGAATACCCTAGCAAATATTGATGTAATATCCTTCAGGATAGGAATGGTTTAGGAGGAAACATAGTGCTATCAGCAATCATGGCAATTTTAGTTCTTAATTCTTTACTTGCGCATTTTTCTTTCTTACTAAAACCATTAAATGAGCGTTGTTTTCTTTACTGAAAAAATCCTGTCTGCATGCACTGGAGAAACACGCGACGGCCGAAGACGAGACATGGACAGGAACGATTGATTGCTTGTCCATTAACCTCAATAACACCAAGCAGTTTAAAGACTTAATTGAGTTAAATAGAGGTCATCGGCTGTCAAGTTTGATGGATGCGATTTTGATTCAACTTGACCTTATGAATGAGCTGTGTGGGAAAATACCAGCAGTAATACTAGAAGAATTTCCGACTTGGTTCAACGCGGGATCATGATAACCAAGACAGTGCTTTTCTTATTGATATCAGTATTGTTTATCTATGGCACGTTAACCTTGATAAAACTCAATCTACTTATACAAATTCCGCGCAGATAACATGTGGTAATGAGTAACTGACGAGCACATTTGAAATCCAATTCGATCTATGAATTAGCCGTGATCAGCTCAGACGGGTTGTTTAGAAGGAGGAGGTTCAGTGGCGGGTTGTCTTCTGGCTTACACACAACATAACGTAGATGAGAACACTAAAACAACTGTGCCACCAAGCAGTGATCAGTAGCTGAATGCCAGTATAAATATTAGTCTAGTCTTGCTTTATTACAGTTTGTTGAATGATATCCGGGTTATATTTAGTGTCCTGTGAGTCATTGATAATCATGGATGGTGGCCGTGCCCACCACACGCCATCATGTCATAAAGTCCATGGTCCGCCTCCGGCGATGTTGTTCTCGAGGTTTAACGGCCTGTTAAGGAGATTTTTAATGCTCGCTTTTCAGGAAATTCTTAAAATAAATCGATAGATGTGGTATGAGTGTAGTTGATAATCGGCAGGTCCGCGAAGAACATTGATGGCCACATGCATGTCCCAACCCAATTGTTAATAACATCCCGCATGTATGTATTCATCTTTACCGTGTTCTTCATCATCATAAATATCCAGTTCATTATACCATCACAATGATCATTATTCATCACCAACATCACTAACACCTATCTTTAATTATCACCACCGTCATCATCATCATCATCCTTTTATCATCATCATCTATATATGCAAAGATGAGAGTATGTGGAGAGGTATCCGCGCGCAGTTCTCTGGTGCCATCATCATCCATCCATGTAAGCGGGTTTTTATGTTTTTCTCATCATTAAAGACATTTCTACGAATGTTAGATAATAAGAACACAAAGTGCAGTGGCTGTGTCAACGATTTCACTTGGTAGATTGTCACTATGTACCTTGGGTGCTTTTCACACTTCTCGATAATTATAAGCTGCTCGAGTTGATTGGTTGATAGCATACCACGGTTAGAACCCGATAGCACGTTTGCCGAGATACGGTTATCTAGCTCGATAAAACTGAGGCACTGGACAAGGTACGTGCTAACAAGCCCAAGTTCTTACGAGCAAAGACAAGATTCTATAAACGACGGAACAGACCGCGTTTATTTCTCCGATACTTAATTTACTCCTCTTGCCTAAGGATAGCAGCCAGGAAAGGTCTAATATTCGTGCCCCCGAAAGGTAAACCCACATTAACATTACTCACTTTTGTCTACTTCGTCAATTCTTTCCTAAGACAAAGGTTATCGACAAAGAAATTTTTCTTTGTCTGTTTTTTAACTTTGTCTGGCAATGTTTTCTTCTCTCAACAGCTGCGATGGCAAGGACATCTCTTGTTTTCGTACTGCTGCTGTTTGTCGCTATTTCAAGTGACGCAACCAAGTCCCACTCCGCCAAACCAAAAGAAAGAAGACTCAGAAATCTTTACTCAAACTCGGTGAGCTGATTTTTAATTTCTTTAAGATCAAGTCAAAAGTTTTTCTTGATTGATGTTTAGATCATGATCCGTAGCTTGGCCGTTTCTGGGGTTGAATTAATCGGGTGCATGGGTTTGCCGCTGTAGAACACTTGCTGCCCTACCTCAGTGACCTGTAGTTGATGATTAAATCAAAACCCTACAAGAATAAAGAACTGCACAACAGCCTTATGTTATAATGGAAGATTTATTTTGTAACTCCGAAGAGTTCAAAAGATGTATTGGAGCAGGGTGAGTTATTGTTCACTAGTGTAGTGTTCATGTCAGGATGGTGTGAATGGATGCTACCAACGGAGTGTTTGTTTTTCATCGACTAATAGCTTTCTCTGCTTTGTTAATTCTTCATCTCGGACACAATAAACGTCAAAAACCTCTTGTAAACTCGTTCCTAAACTTTTAAAAAGAAGTCCCAAGAGGTGTCATTTTCAAGAACGCCCATTTTACAACATCATTCCGTGGGCTGATTCTATTTGTGCTGAAAAAGGTGCTTTTTTAAAAAAAACGCATTTGCAAAAGCCGTCAAATACGATCCCACTCGATGTATGATCTTGTACAGACGTTGAAACATTTAAGCTCCGCCCATGTAATTAGGAATATCAGCGGTTTAATACAGAACCCTTGTCTTTAAGTAGATAGGCGTGGAAAATAGAAGACAGTCGGGCCAAGAGGTCACCACCGGCACCTCAGGATGTCCGGCAAATGAGATTGATCCCCTCCTGTAATTGATAACAGAGTGGGATTAATGACTAGTATTTTAAAATGGTCTTTGAACGATAGCACCTGATGATGTACATCGCAGATATACTGAACAGTTTCCCAACAGATTAAAGAGTCCGCTTTTTACCCATTACAAATACAATGATCATTGAGTGTAAGATAGTCTGTGGCTTGACGCAAGTATTTGGCATAGTCCGCCTTCAAAATGGACTATCCAGAACTGGATTTGGCTAACCTGAGGTCTTACGGAGCAACTATAAGATATTAAGTTTCCACTGCTTTGACCTTTTTGAGATATAGAGTCATAAATGCAGCCGTTTCAAACCAAGTAGCGTCAGTTTGATCAGTACTGGGCTGTACAGATACTACACCAAACCACCATGACAACATTCTGGCTTGGAAAAAGTCTCGTGTCCAGTTTGACTGGAGTTTTTGTGGTTGTTCTCTTGGTTCTTCTTCACTTGTCACCCGTCAAGACTTCGCCGACAAACAAAACCTCCTGCGTAGAAAGCACTGTCTCTCAGGGCGATAGAAACCTCGCAAGGCGGTTACCAATCTGCAATTCTACAGATGTACGTAAGAATTATTTCTATCAATTGTGATATCTGATGTAGAGTATAGAGAAGTGTAGCATACGGTATATACCCCGCTCATCTTATCATTATCTATATCACAAGAGAATCCTATACCTAAAGGCTCGACATTCAAAATTCAAATTCAAAGAGAAAAATCCCGACTACATTGCATGCCTGGTCATACTAATTAAATTTGTGTTTATTTTTTCACCAAAGTTTTAACTTACGCAATGACAATTCATTCAAATTCGACTGCGTCCGAGTCCGCGTGTGATTGAATAAAAGGCGGGTCAGCAGATGAGGAACGCGATATTAGGAACAACCAGTAGACGACTACAAAAATATAGATAATTAAGAAAAACAAATCACTTCTATCGGTCGTCAACTTGGAATTTGTTAGCGTTGTTTGTCTGTCAAATATTAATATCAAAGCTAACAAAGTTACTTTAGAAGTTTCATTGATAACTACGCGAAATAAAATTACTTTCACTAATCTGTAAGATCAGTAATAGGTATGATGAGGTAAAAAGTACAAGAATCCAAAGAATGGGAGAAAGAACTGATGATTGTGATATGCAAAACTGTTCTTTATTTGTTAGTACTACCTCGTGTAATATTCTCAACGTAGTTGTTTCGTTAATGTGTTTTAGGTAGTTTTTCTATTGTTTTTATTTCTGTCACAAATGTATTAATTTGTGTTTATCAACCGATTAACGAGCGATCAAACAAATAATGGACTTTTTAATAAAGATGCGCTATCCGAGGACAGCATGAAGTACTAGTACGAATGAATTGTCGCTGGCAGATAGCAGTAAAAAGGGTGTATCTTTAAGGCTTTCGCTATTGGACGTGATGGTAATAGTAAGTTTTGCGTTTGAATGCCGCATGATTCTTTAAAATATTTTTTTTTATTGTACTCGAAAAAAAGATAGAAACTGGGGAAAACAGTTAATGTTAGTGTCTTTTCGTATTTTATTAACTGCGGATGAATTTTTGCATTAAGTATGAAGAATGGTATACTGCTTGTGTTTTTGTCTTCAGGAATGTCAGCAATCAGAGGACCTGCGGTTGGGATAATTTTCTATAAGTGCCCATGCGCATAGTTCAAAGGTCACAATGATTGACATTTGATTTGGGACCACTTGTTGAAGAATCTTGTGCACGTTCGTATCGACCCAGTGCAGACAACTGTGGCATGGCGCGCAAACTTACCAGAGAACTTACCTAGCCGAAGCATCAGGGGAGAGACCAGCCGGCCCCCAGACCATATCGGCTAATCCCTTGCATCTCTGCCACGCACGGAATCGGTTGAAAAACTAATGTTAAAAAGTCTAGTCTATCCGGTGCATTGTTTTCAAGGCTATTGTTTTGCTAATTTCTGGAAACCGTGGTCCAGTGGACAAAACATTGGCATATCCAAGACATCAAGTCAAGCCCGGTTGAGGAGGGTTAGCATCTGGATGGGTGACCTGAAACATATGCGTACTCAGGCTTTTTTTTTATTTTGCATATTTTTCCTTTTAAAAACATTGATTTGGGCATATAGTTTAACTATTTGAGCAGCTCAATTTAAAGGTCGAAACGATGATTTACAAGTTTTTTCCTCCAAATCGAACTTGTCTGGTTATTGATGCGAAGGGTCTATCAATATCAAGGTTTGCGCATGCGCATAATTTATAAAATGCTTTTTTTGCTTGTTATTCGTCATGGTGCAACTGAGTCTTGTCAATGCAAATGCATGCTCTTCTGCACTCCTTTCCACCAAGTGTAGTCAGAGAGGAGGGGTGATGTTTACCATCATCAGTTGAATATTGAACAGATTTTTTTGTTTGTTTTGCAGCCTCAATCAACAGAAATTACAAATGATAATCGTAAACTTGATCCTTTCGGGAGCTGGTCGAATTTCTTGGGCCACGCAACAAACTCAAGAAACAGTAAAAAAGGAGATCGCGGAAAAGGCAAACCACGAAACAAAACACCATCTACGGTAAGCACATTAGTAAATGAATCATTAATAGATAGATAACTACAAGTTAATTAACTAAAGACTAATAATAATACAATATAATTACATAATAAAAAGAGTACCTAGCTGCTTTCCAAAAGTGCCGTGTTTACTACGTGTATAAAATTCAATTGAAGAAGTTGATGCAGCCTATTCGAAATTGACTCAGAGTGCTTGCTTGACGCAACTCACATGGAAGGCTATTCCATAGCACTGCACCATCATAGCTAAAACTGTTCTTTAGATAATTGGTGTGTGGCCTAGGAATAGCAAGTTTGCCTTCGGTGTTTCTCAAAGAGTAGTTTGTTATGCTGTTACGATCGATAAAAACAGAACTTAGATATGCTGGTGTGAGATCATGCAGTGATTTATAGACCATAACAGCTTTTTGTATTTTTCGCTGGACTTCTAGTTTTTTCCATCCAAGTTTCCAAAAGAGAGGGTCATAACTAGCGTCCTAACTAGAGAATGTCAAAACCCTCGCTGCACGATTTTGCAGTTTCTGAAGCTTGTCAGTGAGGGTTTTGTTACAGTTATCCCACACAACGCGACAGTAATCAAAATGTGACTGGATTAAAGAACCATAGATAAGCTGTAATGTTGAAGTTGGGACGAAGGGCCTTGTACGCTTCAGGGCTCCGATGCCGGACGCAATCTTTTTGGATAATTTGTCGATGTGTTCATTCCAAAACAGATTTTAGTCAATTTGCACACCGAGAGACTTAGTGTACGAAACCTGTTTTATGGGGACCCCGTCAATTGATAACGATGGAAGTGAACCAAACGATGGTATTCTTTGACGGGATCCAATCAACATAAATTCTGTCTTGGATTGATTAAGAGTTAGTTTGTTCGCAACGAGCCATTCAGTAACGTTCTGAAGGTCTCGGTCTAGAAAGTAATTTACATCTTTGATATTATTACTGGCAAACGTTAAGTGGGTGTCATCGGCGTACATACGTGGCTTGGAATATTCAAGACAATTTGGCAGGTCATTTATGTAAATGAGAAATAACATGGGCCCTAGAATTGTCCCCTGGGGAATTCCACGAATTAATGAACGGCTATCCGAGAGATGTCCGTTTACTAGACATTTTTGACTACGATTGCTTGAATACGAATCAAACCATTTACTTACAGAGACTCCAAAGCCGTATGCTCTTAGTTTTGAAAGCAGTATTCTATGATCTACGGTATCAAATGCTTTCTTGCAGTCCAGGAAAACCACCGCATTAACATTGCCGCGATCGATGTTATAAGCTCAGTTATTTGTAGCCTCAAGAAGCGCAGTTACCGTAGAATGGAGGCATCGGAACCCTGATTGGCAATTTGAAAGAAGATTATTGTTGGAAAGAAAAGCATAGGCTTGATCGTAAATGATCCTTTCAAAAACTTTTTGCCACGATAGGGATTATTGAAATAGGACGATAGTTGTCCATGTCCCTTCGCTCTCCTTGTCATGTGTATTCGGTGCGTAGTGTCTATTGGGATGTGTACTGCCTTGTGACTCGGTGCGTAGCGTGTGATAGATCTCTACTGCAGCTTGACTCGGTGCGCAGTGTCTGATGGGATGTGTAATGCCTCTTGACTTGGTGCGCAGTGTCCGATGGGATGTGTACTGCCTTGTGACTAGGTGCGCAGTGTCTGATGGGATGTGTACTGCCTTGTGACTAGGTGCGCAGTGTCTGATGGGATGTNGATGGGATGTGTACTGCCTTGTGACTAGGTGCGCAGTGTCTGATGGGATGTGTACTGCCTTGTGACTAGGTGCGCAGTGTCTGATGGGATGTCTACTGCTTTGTGACTCGGTGCGCAGTGTTTGATGGGAAGGTTAATCAATTGTGATTGGTAGGCACTGCACATCCAGTTTAGAACCAAGATGCGGGCTTTAGTAAATGGTGACTTTTATTAACATTATATTTATTGTCGTAGAAAAAATCCACCCATCCTTGTCCCCCTGGACCACCCGGTCCTCCCGGACCCCAGGGTCCTGCAGGAGCTGTTGTTACTGAAGCGCATATGATGATGGAGTTTCGCAATCTTGTGCGAGGTAAGTTTCCAAGTGACCTCATTGCAGTTGTTTTATTTCATTCAATTAATCATTTCTATTTTTCTTGTTGTCTGTAGAGTCCGCACAGAAAAGATCAAGAAGACTCGCAGATGTAAGTTTTGTACGTCGGTTTTCCTACTTACCCAAGACCAACCATTATAATCATGCATGCGCACTAATATTGTTTTCTTTTGCTTCAGAACATAAGTCTGATGGCGTCTGGAATACCTGATCTTGTATCAGCTTTTCATGTGGAACTACGGAATGAGATACAAATCGCCAGGAAGACTCTACACGAGTTGAATAACTACAAATCACACGTAAGTTTCTCACTGAGCCTCTCGACAAGTGCCCGCCAGTAAGACAATTCTCTCTAACAATTCTTGCGTTTTGAAGGTTGGTAGTTTTGGGACGTTTGTACGTGGTAACGACATTGAGTACAAGAATGGACGGTATATCGCACGGTATACTGGTGTCTACCAATTCTCGTGCAGCCTTCACGTACTGCGCGCCAGAGATGCTAACCTTAGACCACGTGACAGTATCAAACTGCAAATCTGTATCAACTCGCTTTGTGACCACAACACGTAAGTACCGAACCCTCACTTCCATATGTTTGACTACATGTCACGTGACTTATGATAATGGTCTATTTATAGATCTCTGCTGACAGTGACGGGTGTGAACAGTAACAGCAAGGTCTTCACGATTTCCTTACATGGAATTCTCTTGCTTAAGGTAAGATTATCAGTTTTTGAGCCTGCATTTCTTTTTCTCAGAGAATCGCGTCTTATATTTACCCTATCAACCAAGTGACATGTTTGATGCTCATCTACAGGCTGGTCAGTACACGTCTGTGTTTGTCGAAAACAGCTCCGGCAATCCTATTACCATTTCCAGCCAGTCTTCTTTCTCTGGAATCCTTCTTGGGGCTTAGAATGAAACAGTAACTGAGCCATGATAGGTGTAGCAATCATTCCAGGCTTCATGATCATGAAGAGACTGAGAACTAGTGCTATAAATCATTAGTAAGCTAAGCTTGTATAGAGATTATTAGAGGGATGTTCGCAGTGTATAAAGGGAGTCCTACAGAGAAAGTATAATAGACTTAGTCCTAGGATCGAGTGAGAAAGAAACAAAGTAACCTTCTTTGACTTCCGGCGGAAGCTTACTGAACAACGCCTGATACTTGATATGACTGAATTAGAGTGAAGTCACTAAACCCGTGAAATAGATATTAGACTAATACACATTAGTAGACCCTAATTCCATCGTTTTCTTTTTTCTATTACAATTTGATTTAAAAAAATTTTATTTCACGGGTTATATGCCTTCACCCTAATCAAGATAAAACTATAAGGTAAAAGGAGTAGATCTTTTTTAGTAGCACAGGATCGAATTTAGAGTAACATCGACAATGGGGTATATATAAACTGAGTGGAACACAGTCATTTTGGATCAAGTAGATTGTTGTGATCTTACACTTCATACCTTTCTACGTTTCATCAGTTTTTACCTCTGATTTGCTTAGTCACTAGAGGCACTTATAAGCACCTAGCTAATATAATACATCAAAAACAGGGAGTCTGGTAACGTCTCACCTCGCAAGGAATTGTGGATCGAATGTTTTGGACTCCCATAATCCTATGCGATTCTAATTCGTGGTAAGTCTTCTGGATGTTTGTTAATAGTTCAGAATAAGAAGCTCTAGCTTGAACAATGTAAAATAGCTATATTTATGCAATCACTTATTACCGCATTTACCAGTAGCAATTATTGTTAAACTTTTATGTGCATGATCTGCATGCTACTCCCGTAGTCAGTGATGATAATAAATCGTTTTAAAAAACGTTTGGCACTTCGTGTAAAGTCCAATCACAACCCACTACCAAAAAAATGACAATAACATCGTAATTCACAGCGTTTATTTATTTTAACTATAAAATATATTACATTACAAAATATTACATTTCTTCTCTTTAAACGGAGCTGCCGAAGGCAGTAGATTTGTGTATATTGTCCTATTTCTACATGATTCTTTAGATGATACACGGAGAATTAATCCGCATCTTTGATTTGCAACTGTGAACAACAGTACTTATTTGCTTTGCAACTGGCTTTTTTTTACTCCAGTCGGAAATCGCTATCATGGCCGCTTCTTCATGCCTTTTTATACATTCTATTCTCAGAAGACAATGGCTTTAAAAGTAAATTAAACTAGATGCTAATGAATTTGTCCTATTCAATTTCCTTTCCTCTCTCCCATTCAAAACCTTTTTTTCCTCTTTTCATGAAAACCTACTAGACTTTTATTACTCAGCTGAGCCTACTGGACGGCAATATAGTGTTTCAGCGGAGGAATCCCCATGCGCATGTGCTTTACTTATTCCTAACCTTATTATGTACAGCCCAGTTAATACTTGTCTTCCAGCTATTGTCAAGAGCTTCTTTTAGTCGCTTATTAAACTGCTTGACTGCCTCATCTTCAGACACCTCGAGGTTCAAGGTTTTTCTGAGGTAACCGATGTCACTGGGTGTGCGTAGTTCGGGTATCCCAGCAGATAACATCATTACAAAAAGGTTGATCAGCAGTGAACCCTTGCGACGAAGAATCAGGAACGCTTGCTCACAAATTCCTCTGAAACTGAACACAATAACAGGTGATTAGATTTAATTATTTTGAGTTATGACCTCCAGTTCTTTTCCTGCTTGAAATAAGAGTGTACCAGACTAAACAAAGTCACTTGCCCTTGACCAATACTATCTCTCTGGCGGACATGTCATGCTTTAGTTAAAAAATGTGAGTTGTTGTAAGAGCAAAACAAGCATCAGCTCAGGACCTTCAGTCTTCGTAAAACATGCTTGCATTCGAAGGGATGGTCCTTCAAGGTTAATACATCATCCACTCCGCTKTTACTGACAAAAAAGATAAATATAGAATTTCTTACTATTGAAATTCTTCAGTGTCCTCGGGTTTGCGGTCTGTTCTTCCTTTAGTTATCACGTGGACAAAATGATCCGTCAAGACGAAAGGAACTCTCTCTCGACGAATACCAAATTTGCTCTTGAAATTACCAAGAAAATGGCCGAAGTCGATGTGGAAGAGCTGGAAGTAATGACAGAAAGCAAGCAGTTAGTGGCGTCCATCCCTTCCCGTGAGAGTCAAAAAACAAAAGACGTGGCTGCCATATTGGTTGACATGACAAAAGACACCAAAACCAATTCTTTTGTCAAGGTCAACCAACATGGCGGCTCTGACGTCACATACACCCCAAGAATACTTGCATGACTGCTTGATTGGTTTGATTGTTACCTGTCCTGTCTTGGACACCATAATGTTATCACTGTGTCTGTCACCCACTCCCAGTACATACGTAGCTACACAATACCCAGCACATGACATCGTGAACCTACGTATTGCTTCATTCAAACTAAAAAAAAGAAAGAAATCAAGTTCAAAATCATCCTCAACTGGCCAATGAACAGGGGCCTAGCGAGAGGGATGAATGCCCCTTCAAAGGTTTGATTAAAAATTCTAACGCTCTCTTTGTTATAAAAGATACATTAAGTGTAATTGATATTCATTTGATAACCTTTCTTTTGATTATAAGTTACTGTTTCGCACCTTGTATCTTGGCAACGAAATGTCATTCAGTAATAGGATTCCCGTGGATATGACGGGAAACTTTAAACATGAAAAGTGCAGGCGCGTGTAATGGCGGGAAAATGGTACTTCACTCTCCCTATAGTAGACAGCAAGAGTAAGAAACATGTTCATAATGTGTTTTTCTTACTCGTCTTTTCCCTGGTGCCAACTGTTTAACCAATGCAGGATGCAGCCTTTAGTAAAAGCACCAGATATTGCTCCTTCTTGTCGTGTCTGAATCTTGGCAACAGTTTCTGCGTTTTCTACTACTTGGATCATACCAACGTTACATCCGGTGGACAAACAACCATAGGGAATCATGCTAAACGAAACACACAAAGAGATTATTGTATTGCAAAAAGGAGTCGTATAACCTTTGAAACATTGCATCATAAAGTGAAGGCACACAGCTCTACAGTGCAAGGGACTACCCTGATTTTAATCTAGCATGAACGAGAATAGGCTGGGAGGATACAAAGAAAGAGCAGTGAGTATGACTTACTCTAGATCTAGTCCTTCTTGCTTCCACATTCGATCCATGATCCTTATCAGCTGTAAGGTCAACATGTCTTGACGCAGATCTAAAGTAGAAAGAGAGAGGTAGATAAGCTAATGTCTTGTTAAATAAATATCTTGATTAACGTCACACTCACCATCCCCACTCTTGAAGATTATCTTCACAGGGTTTGCTAGTTCATCATGGTTTTCAAAATCAAGCCACAACGGCTTCATCTTGGAATCCATAAACTTACACTTGTCCACCCTGAAAGTTTAAAACGTTTGATATGTTTAAAATTATCATAGATATATTTGCAAAAGATAACAGTGGTGTAGTTTAGGCCTGGGGTCACAGGTTTGATTCCTGGCTTAGCTGGATATGTGAGTTGAGCTTGTTTGATGTGTTGTTTTATTCTCTTGTCACACGGGTATTTCAACAGATTCTTTGGTTTTCCTCCCTCAGTAAAAATCAACATGTGAGATGAGTGTTGTGTGTTGTAAATAATGAACATAGTGGTAGTGCAAGCAAACTGAGTGAAAGAAGCCCTTTCAGGGATTGTTGGTTGTAAAATACATATAAATAGAATTATTATTAGGCATATGGTGGTCCTTTATTGAGTTCAAGAGTCAGAAACAGGTCATGATTCAACTCACCTCAGTCTTCTAAGTTTGTAGGTTGGATCAAGAGGAGATGTTAGCTTGGAAAGAGCTTCCTGGTAAGTCTTTTGTAGCAGGCATTCTCTCATTATTTGCAAACCTTTCTCTTTTTTATTGCTGTTAGTGCTGTCTATGTTGTACAGCAAACTGGAGATGGTCTTCAACTTGTTTAACGCCCCGATCTGGAAGAAAATTTTACATTTTATCTTTTGGGGATTCTTTGACTTAGTTGTATCCAATTCATTGCAACCATTAGACAAAGAAATAATACTTTATGGAATGACAAATGCAAATTGAGAAAATATTACACCCAAGGTAAAAGGGTTTATTAAGACTCCCTTATCTTTTACCGCAGCAATTAAAAACAGAAACAACATTTTCCTGTAACATTCAAGTCAGTAAAGACAAACTTTCAACACATTGTCTATTTTATGCATCTTGTTTTTGATGCTAATGTTAAGTTCAACAAACCTGTTTTTGCAAGCTCTTTATGTGATCAGGAGCTCCTCTCAGATATGCCTCCAGCATCAAACCAAATCTTACAGACACTTCAGGATTGTGCATCTCGGCTCTTAACAGCCAAAATAGAGAGTGACCCAATACTTGATTGTTGAGTGCTCGCTTGAGGATAAACATTGCTAAGTCACAGTCCAAATACGACTCAAATTTAAGAACCTGAATGAAGATGCAGAATATGAATTAAGCATCGAAATTTCTTCTTGCTTTCCTGTTAAGTAAAGCAGCCAAAATAATCATACCTGAACTAGTTGTAACAAATACTGGCCAAGATCATCATCACTAAAAGACAAAGACATGCAGCTTATCAGAACGGCAATGTGATATGGATGACCAACCCAGTTACAACACATACCTCATAATCTCAAGGCATCTCACAGCAAATTCTCTGACTTTCTGGTCAGCATAATTACAATCTAGGATCTCCAAAGCTTGCTCAGGATCAAGAGGTTTCCAGATTTGAAGGAGAACTTGCATCTGGGAATTCAAAGAGTCTTCGATGAGCATATCTAACAATTAATGATAAAGAAAAAGATGCTATGGAAAGAGAAAGAATCTTGATTTACATTTACCTGTGCTACATCTTCCTTGCAGTTCCACTTCATGCAACTCAGTAATTTCCCCAGTGCATGTGGATAGTTCTCTCGGCACTCAATTCTGGAATACCAAAGAATATTGTGTGAAACTTCTTCTTTGTAATATTAGTCGATTTCTTTTTGTTTTGATAATTTCGTTACCTTAGCAACCACACAAACTCCTTGTCCTGCTCAAAGATGGGAGCAAGTGGCTCTCTATCAATAATTTGCCGCAACCTTTCCAACTCATTTTCAGAAAATGATTTCTAGAAATCGTCAAAAATAAGAAATAAAAAAAATCAGTGAATAGAATAATGTATGTTTCTTGATATATTTGATTCATAGATTTAACTTACAAAGATATCTCCTTGGGTGTGATCTGCTGCCAACTCAACAATCTAAAAGGATAAAAAATTGTATTGAATATAAAAATGTTGAAAATCACTTTGAATTGCGTTACTTTTGTTAGAACTACTAACTAATCTTATATAGTATTTTGTTAACCCCAATGCTTTCAAAATCTAATGCAAATTAACATGACTACATGCAAAGCTACAGTAGCTTAAATGAACATATCTCTAATGGACTTCAGCAAAAATAATCTTAAAAACATAGTTAATGTTGGTGTTACTACTTTGCATACCTTCTCATATGGTGGATAAATTACTGTATTCGCATAGCGCTGAAACTCAATCAGGAGAGCAGGTGATATATTGGTGTTGATATTGGACACTACTGTACCAATAGGGTTCAGTTGCTCAGCTATTGTTTCAGTTACTGGCCATGTTACAAGGGTAAGTGGTCCTTGCCGAAGTTGGCCACGAAAGTCAAACAAGGTTGTGTTAACCCAGGCCAAAGCAATGGAATCCTGAAACATAAGGCATAAGCATGATTTTGTGAAAAACTTACACTAAAAAAGTAAACAGATAGTATTGCAGGCAATAAAAATCATAACATAGCATTTTATTACTTGCTGATCAGATTACAAGCATTGTGAATAATAAAATCATTCAACTAAGCAATATCTATATTTACCTCTCTTCTCCTTCGCTTTTTGGTATTATAAACACCATATAACACTAGACAGAGTCGAGCCATTCTTGGTATATCAGAAACAAGAATATCGAAATTGAGGAACTCATTCCAAACAGGAGAAGGACCATTACAAGGCTTGGTGCTGTTGATTCCACAAAGGACTTCGTTGCCATGGTATATACCTGCACGAACTGTAACCTTAAATAAACACCCAAACAAGCATGTTTACTTGTTGTGATACTGAATAGAAGTTTTGTCATGTTAGATGGCAGAACAATACAACTGCTGTGCATGAGAAAGAATTCAATTCCTGTAAGAAAAAGATTTTATTGTTCTGCCATCTAACCACAGGCAGCCCAATCTGTATTATATAACATGACTGACATCACATGATATCTGATATAGATTTGAATTTTGCAAAGTCAAGAATCCTGAAAAAGCTAAGTGAGGAATACTTACTTTCATAGATTCTCCAGTGTTTACATTGAAGGCTGACACAATTTTGATTTTCAAGTTTGTATTAATACTCCATAATGATAGGCTTTCTTCACGAGGAGGGAGGGGTGGGGGTGGTCTGGTTATTGGATCGACAGACTCTTTCCCTGTTACACTTATATCTGTCACTTTTAAGGAATCTCTGTTTACAAGACACAGTGCTGGTCTTTCACATCTTGCTACGCAGTCTCTTATGTACTGAAATTTAAAACCATGAATCAAGAGATGTTATTCAAGGATCGAAATAATCTTGTCAAAACGAGTCCTTTACTTCTGGAGAACAAAAATAAGTTATAACTGTTCCTTGCAAAGAGCATTAAACTGAGGTATTTAAACTTACAGGGAAACATCGGTGGCGTAGCAGTTGCATCACCAATGCAATCTGGGTTCGATTCCAGGCTGGACATGGTGTCATGTGAGTAGAGTCCTTTGTTGGTAATCTCCTGTGCTTTGAGGGTTTTTCTGCTTTTCCTCCCTCCACAAAATTCCACTTCTATATTCCAATTCAATCATGGAGCAAGGGCCACAGGTTTGTTAGCCACTGGCTATTAAAGGAATATTTATTTATTATTATTTATCTTATTCATTCACCATCATTACCTGGTATTGAAGTAAAGCATAGTCTCCCAGGAGGTAACATTCTCTTCCTACAACCTTCAGCACAAAATCATTAAGGTTATCAGTCTCATGATGCCCTCCTCCCATGATTGCTCCCCTCTTCCTCAAAACAAGCAAGAGTAGCTCCTGAGGATAGGTGTCTGCAGAAACGTTAAACGCATGCATATCTTTCATAGATGCTCTGTTGTTTCTGATGGCTACGTTTACCAGGAATCTACGGTTTTCCATGAGATTTCTCTCTACAAATTYTGGAGCACTTTCACCCAAGTCCACTTGTGGAGGATAGGCGTACATGGCTCTTTCTTCCCATTCCAACTGTCTACGCTTATGAGCTACACCTTCTACAAATTCTCCATAACGTCGCCTAAACTCATCAATTTCTGCATTCTGCATTAGTTTGTATTCTTCAAGGTTTTTTCCTATGAGAACGCCAATCTTTGAGGTTAATAGCTTTTCTTCTCTGTCACCTTTCCGCTCAATCAGCTTCAACATGGGTCTGAATGGTTTTGCATCAACAAGCTGTCGATTCTCATCAACCAGTTCTTCCACTTTACCTTGCAAGTTTACACAAACAAAAACATAGCTACCCATGTCTCTTARCARGTTAGAAAGAGGAAAGCTGGTAGATTCTCGCCATAACTTGGTTTTAATCTCAGTAAGAGTTGCTTCAATCCTCACTTCAATCGGGATCAACACACCATTCGGCATCAAACAGTCGACGTTCACACTCGAAGAAGCGGCCATATTGGTCCACATATCTAGTCGACTAACTGGAGGCATCTTGGATGACCTATAGACGTTCACTAGTCAAGATCGTGGTGAGATCTCACAAGTTATTGTTCGATTTCATAATATCTTTGACGCCCTTCATTTGCTTCTTCCTTCAGTCATGGAAGATCGAAGCTTCCGCATCCCAGTCACGTGATTACACCACAGGAAGCCCGTCAGCACCTCTGACATTCAAGATGGCGGACTAAACTTCAAAAGTTGTTTAGCTAGTGTTTAAGTATCAAATATTCTTAACTGAAACACTTAACTAGTAGGTTAATAGCTGGATAACAAGTTACGTTACTATGGACGAAGAAGACCTTGAAGAAATGACAGCTCTTCGTGGTAATACATTAGAGATAACCAAGTTAGCAGACTCGAATGGGTGACTCTCGTAGTACAATTATTATCCTCTATTTATTGTATTTATGTATTTACTCGTATGTTTTTCTGGTGTTTAAAGACGCCTTACGTTGTTGCACTCCAACATTGATAGTTAATTAAACAATTTGTATGTACTATTTTCTAATAAATCTGTATAAATATGTTGCATCATTAGATTGAAGCTTATTTACTTATGTTCAATTTTCAGGAAACTCTAAGTATCTGATCTCTCAAGGTTCAGCAAGATCAGGTTTTGGTAGCTTTGGTCCATCACGACAAAAGCCTGCTCCTTCAAGGTCAAGGTCAGATGTTCCAAGTTCATGTAGCGTGAAGACCACACCACAGGCTGGTAACGACAGACATATTCCAAAAATAGAAGAATATAAATAAAATATTATTTATAATACAAGATTTCTTATGCCTCTCACTTCTGGGGCCTTGGGATCAACATAGTCATCCTAGGCTTGGGCGTAATGTTTTTTTACCATTTCAGACCATGTGTCATTCCCAAGATTATCATTTCTTTGTTTAACAGTTGCAATCGTTTACACATGAGAAGACACATGAATATGGATACGACTCAAACAAAGAATCGTATTCAAGGAAATGACACTTCGTTGGTCTGGAATGGGGAAAACACTATGCACAAGCCAAGGAGGTCTATTCCTGGACTCAGCATCAAATGCGAATATAGTTGGTCAGGTCTCTTCCTATATTCCAAGGCTTATCACTAGTATGTCTACCAATAGTCTCCTTCACAGTTCCCTGCACCATCTTGTAAGATAGCCGTGCCTTTGCATCAAAGCGAGACAAACGGTGAGCTTGCAATGACAGATGCATGTGAACAATTGTCTCTATCATTGCAAGCTCACCATTCGTCTTGCTTTGATGCAAAGGCATGGCTGCCTTTCAAGATGGTGCAGGGAAATGGGAAAGGGACTATTAGGTGGTAAAATAACTGCCATCTATAATTTTAACTTCATTTCATTAGAAGATAAATCAAGTGAGCAAAGAGAAGCATCAGACATGGCTGCTATGATGGGGTTTTCAGGATTTGGTAGGTCATTCATTGTTTTATATATTTCTGATATAACAGGACAAGGTAATACCCATTAACATACATACATACATACATACATACTTTATTCGTCCTCTATAAGGCTTTTCAGAATAAAGGGCCTAATTAATTACAATTAAAATAATACTATATATAATTATATAAGAAGCAAAAAGAAAAGATCAAAGAATAAAGTAAATAAATAAATAGATAAATAAATCGTACATTTAAATTACATTAAGGTTTTAGAAAATCTGAAATAAGATGTTGTTTTAATGTCCGTTTAAAGTCTTTCACGGTTGAGCTCAACTTAAGGGCAGAGTCTAGTGAATTCCACAATTTGACAGTTCTATAGTAAAATGATCTTTGTCCAGTAGTCGTTCTTAACATGCTATACATGCACCCATGTTTTAGGCAAAAAACAAGCTTTAAAGTTTAATGTAGAGGAGATGTTTGAAAAGGCTAGATCAACAGCTAAGCAAGTCAGTATGGCGGCAACTATCAAAGGTACCTTTATTCCTGTATAGCGATACTTCATGTTTACTAGTAAAACCATTGTGACCTTAATATTTCATTTTAGTTAAGTTGCTTCATGTCAACAGCCAATCAGTCTCTGGTTGGATTTCGCTGGTTTGCACATGAATAACAAAGGCTTATGCCACATGAGGTATCATTATTATGTAGACTTAGCTATGTAATTGGCATAGCAGGAAAAACAATTCCCTTTCACTACTGTAAGTCTCGCATGTCTGGTTGTTGGTTTGATTCCTGTCAATAGAGTTTGTTTGATGTGTTGTGCTCTTCCTTGAAGGGAAAATTTTTCTGTAAGTGCAGGGTTCTCCATTTTTCWCCCTCCACAAATACCAATCAGATAAAAGTTTTTTGGTTAGATTATTAAATGTAGTGGAAATGAGTGTAGAGTGTATATCATATATAAAACAAAATAAACCATATTTATTAACATATTTCTCAGGGAGAATTGCATTTTTTTCCTGGAAATCYTTTTCTTTTCTATACTTTAATATCTTGGATATAAATATTTCAGAGTCTTCACAAGTTGATGATAATGATGAAGGTCCATCCGTCATGTTACCTCCATGGATGGAAAGAAAGGTCTGTTTTTGTCATATCCRCCATTCATCTTTTAAAACTATTTATTAAACTAAGTTTATTCTGATGTATTTAGGAAGAAAAAGCATCAACAAGTAAACTAGAAACAAAGGATGATGATGATGATGATGAAGATGATGAAGATGATGATGATAAAGAAGTAAGGTTCCTCTAAGCTAAATAAATGTACCTACTACATTAAGTTACAAGCTTGACATTCTGGTAATGCTGGTTACTCTTTCAGGAAGTAGAAAACAGACTACCAATAAGCCATGAAGTTGTACTTCAACATGGATCAAAAACTGTAAGTACAAAGATTCAAGAATGATGTCAAAATATTATTTATTTATTATTTCCATGACAACAGCCATGGCCATGTGTGTTTACACTGTCTGTTAACTTCAGATTTCAGCCATTACCTTGGAGCCGTCTGGTTCTCGACTTTTAACGGGAAGCCATGACTATGAGGTGAGTAACTTTGTTGTGCRGGTTTGTGCGAGTACGTGATGTTCATCTTTTTCTCTCAGACCATTTCAGACCATGTGTCATTCCTTGGAGTACCATTTCTTGAATGTTATTTCATAATCTAATCTTATTCTCAAAAGAATGATGCATGGTCTGATATGGGAAAGCAAGAGTAAAGAAATCCATTGTAGSTATGATTACTAATTTAATTATCAGTCACTGATGATTGTGGCTGCTAATTAGGTAGTGTTAATAAGTTATCATTATTATTGGGGCAATAGATTAAATTCTGGGACTTTAATTCAATGGACGCTACACATCGAGCCTTCAGAACATTACAGCCATTTGAATGCCATCCAATCAAGTCAGCACAGTACAGTATTACTGGTGATTGTATTCTTCTTACATCTGGTAATGCACAGGTTAGTACTCCTGTTATAGTACTGTGGAGCACAGCAGTATTGTACTAGCCTCTCACCTCTGGAGCCTCYCACCTCTTTGCATCACATGTGAATAGCATTTGTTGGGTTTCTCCCTTGATTCTAGGGTTTTCCTTTAGTCTTCCTCCCTCCCATTACCTAACCAGCTAAATTCTATTTAAATCTGTGATAACAATTGCCCTGACTTTGATCAGCCCAGAGGTTGTTTCAGGGTATTGACTGTCTGTTCATTATCTGTCTGCATTATAGATGTCTTGTCCCATCTGTCCCTTTGCGTTAATCTCTCACTGTTCCTCTTCCATTTCTTTCTCACAATCCCATTCCCACTACCTTCTGGTATCCTCATTTTAGCTTCATAGTTCTTCTGTCTTCATTCTCCTGTATTGTTTTTATGAACAGGCTAAAGTTTTGGATAGAGATGGGTTTCAAGTACTGGAGTGTGTTAAGGGTGACCAGTATCTTGCAGACATGGCTAACACTAAGGTAATCACTGTCAAAAAACTATTCAAATCCATAAAACCGATAGGGAATATAGTGTGTGGTTGTGCTAGTAACATTGATGTTTTACCCTTGATGTCTTGGGCTACATTTCTGGACATGATATTCTTTTAGGGTCATGTTGCTACTCTTAACTGTGGACGATGGCACCCAAAAGTAAAGGAGGAATTTTTGACTTGCAGTGATGATGGGTATGTTTACATAATATCTGATAGAGGTGTTTGTTTTTAGAGGCGTTGTTAAAACTGCAGACATATTTAAGGACAAGAACAAAACATTGTTTTTACATGATTTCATTTAATTTCCCCAAGGAATTTCTATTGCTTGCCCTTTAACATGGCTGCCATGAAATCATTCTATATTCATTCATTGATACAGATTCTTATGAGTACTGTACTTTAGTTTATGATGAAAGTTGTGTTTAATGTTTTCTAGGACTTTGAGGCTGTGGGATGTTAATAATCACAACAAGAACAAAAAAGTTATCAAAACGAAAAACAAAATGGGTAAGATGAATTTCTAATAAYATTTCATAATATCCCTCGTATCCCTTGCATGTATCTCAGAGAATAAAATATATGTAACCAGATAACAATGAATGTAATTTTGGTCAAGAATCAGTGAAAAGATATTCTTTTTTGTATTACAGGCAAGAAGACCATTCCATCTCATTGTTGCTACAGTAAGGATGGCAAATACATTGTTGCTGCTTGTCAGGTAAATCTTCTAGGGATTGAAATAAGCTGAGAATCCCTGACCCTCCCCTCCCCTCCCCTTCCCCTTCCCTTACCCTCCCATTCCCACCCCACCCTCCCTCATGTGTCTATTAAGGGGCAGTAATATCGGCTATAAAGAAGCTCTCTCTAATCTCTTCAACGAAGATAATCTATTATGCATTGGGTGGTAATACGAGCAACATTTGCTTGCAACTTACAACATAAACAAAGTTGTACGCTATTGTGGCCCATGTTACTGCACGTTGAAAGTGAATGTGTTTGCATGCTGTAATTTGCATATATTTTCCAGGATGGCTCCATTCAAGTCTGGGATACAAAGCGACCATTTGTAAGTAACATCTCAGTGGATTTCTTTACTATCTGTTATTATTATAACTAGACTGTGTAGGTATGAGTAGTAGTGATGGAACATAGGGGCGGGCAGGGATGGTAGAGAATGTCTTATGACACATGAATGGTATTTTTCTTCTATGTCATACGTGAACACCGAAAACAGAGGTTAAAGACCCAGACGTCACAACGTTTGTATTAGATTTTCATAATCAGGATAATTCTAGTTTATTATCAAAAGGGGTGCTCTAGGAATGCCTGTAAAAACATTACTAGACAAAGGTTAACGTAAGGTGATGAAGGAAACAAGAAGTGCAGGGTAGAGTGTTACTATCTTTACTCCCTCCCTCCCTCCCACGGGACAGATATTATGACGTTTTAGGTTTTTTGGAAGGCCTGCAGCAGATGTTCATCAGTAGCTTGACAAACATGAGGAAAACACTCAATACTACAGTCAACACTAGACCAAGCACCAGCATCACATCCAACATGTATATCTGATAGAAGGGTAGATCCAGGCTCCTGGGTTTGAGGTGCTTCAAGTCRCCCACAGCGTGCACATATTCAACGAGTTCTGCTGCCTGTTGTACTGGAGATCGTGGGCTCGACTTCAAAACACGTGACACGAACAGCATTCGTTCTTTGTACCTGGGTTAGAAAATAATCAGTACTTCAGACATAAGCAATTGGTTTTAGTTAGTCGTAGAGTAACTGAAAAGCACACACTGGAAGTATGGGATGTGTGTACTTACAGCATTGACAGCATGAATCCAGTTCTTCTTCATCATTAGAACTTGAATAAGACTCCAGAAAAAAAGGGTTCCTTCCGGATGGCATGACTTTGTTTTAACTTACCTTTTCTCTTGGATAATTTGTTTTAAAAGTTTTGTCAGTCGTTCTGTGGAGATGGAATTCAAGGAGACAACCTCAGCCATGCCTGAGTCTTTAAGAATCTGTGCATTGTCGTGTTGATCCCCATAGAAAGGCATACAGAGCATTGGTATGCCATGGTAAGATGCTTCAGCCATGCTGTTAGCACCAGCATGAGTAAAGAACAACCTTGTCTTGTTATGTCCCAGCACATCATTCTGTGGTACCCACTTCATAACTTTAATATTCGATGCAAATTTACCTTTGAAGTTATCTGCAAAGAAAAACCAAACTCTGTTTGACTGGAAAGATATTAATAACTGGACCACTACCCTGATTTTAACTACACTGCTAATGTGCCGCCTTGGGTTGACCCCTGGACCAGCCATCATATGTGAGTAGAATTGCTTGTTGGTTCTCTCCGAGTTCTCCACAAAACAAGAGTCTTAATTCTAGTGATGCCAATCTTTTTGGTACCTTGTCAATTAGCTGGAATGTTCAGCCCCAAGACTCCAAGATGGTGTAAAAAGCCTCGCCACCCATCCACCCGGAAAATGTTCTGGCATTACACGAGTGATTTCCAATGAAATGGTGGAATACTCACCCAGATTTAGCTTCCACAAGACTTTCTGAGGCAATTTAGAGAAAGCTTCATTCATGATTTCAATCGCATCGTTACTTATCGTATCTAATATTGAACCAAAAGATACATATATAACACCATTGTCACCAGATCTCTCGAAAAACTCCTCTAGCTCGTTTGGAAGTRGCTTTGGTGGGCTGGGCATGAAGTTGCCAACTTCGCGAATATCTAAAGAGGCAAAAATCTCTTAGTTTTGTCTAAMTTTAAAAGAGAAATAATTTGAGATAACGTGCTTTCTGATTGAAAAGTTTTGCAGCCAATCATATGTTGCGTTAGATTGAAGGTTCACTTACATGGTGGCAATGGCTGTGCGTAGTCAGTTACCAGGCTCACCGTCAATAAAATCATATCTACGGTTGCCATGGTTTCTCGGATACTTTTTTCTGGTTTGATCTTGTATTTTGCCTTTAGTTCTCCATAAGTTGGATAAAAACAGCCTTCGACGATGTAAAAACGATTTACGAGATAAGATCCAACATTTATAATCCTGTCCACAAGTCCCATGTTTTTTGGCCGGAAAGAATTGATCTGAGGTACGTAAGCTGGGTTAGAAGAATGACCGAACAGCACTATCGTTGGTGTACYTATACCACTCATTGATATCACAACGTGTGGGATACCAAACATATCTGCCACAAGAGAAGAACAAGGGTACAAAGAATCTCCGATCAAGACATCTGCTGTCTTTACTTCCTTCATCATGGCGTCATTGCTCAAAAACAGATCACAGTAGGTTTGTTGCTTTTTAAAAAGAAGAGATATTGTTTTTCTCATATTTGTTATCCCTCCTGATAAGGCTTTCACATGTTGTGCTCGTTTTTTTATTTCTTCTTCAGGAATTTCAAACGTCTTTACGTTTGATTTTCCAATGGCGTAACTGGCTTCTTCACCAACGAGAATAGAAACCTAAAAAAGAGTTTGAAATTCAGGAGTGTTAGAATTTACTCGATTCCCAGTAGTCGACTCCAAGATCTTTTTCTTCCTCCTCACAAAAAAAACCCTAGCTAATGAGACCATTTTCTCAAGGTTGCGTGCGCATCCAACTTGGCGGGCCAAGAAGATATATCTAAAGAGKAGAATAAACGATTTTAAATTTTATTCTCATTTTAAAAAATTTCATAGCAATAGACCAAATGCAAAACTCGTACCGATGTGAGGCTTAGTTGTGAACAAAGGGATCTGGCGTGATTCAAAGCAATCTGGCGTGATTCAAAGCAATCTGGCGTGATTCAAAGCAATCTGGCGTGATTCAAAAGTCACGAATCGTGTTCTGGTATCGTGCCCCATCAAGTTCCTTAAATTTGGATGCGCACGCAACCTAGAGAAAACGGTCTATTAATAATGGTTAGAGCTGTGCTCTAGACAGCTTCTGGGGTTACTGGGGTTAACATGGACTGCGAGGACCAGAGGACCTTCACATTCCCACTTTCAGTTCGACCCCATTAAATTAGTACACCAATATATATGGTGGGGGACGGGAGAGTAACACCTTTGATAGATATGACATGATATGAGCATGTTTTGGCTTTACTATAAAATTAATCCTTAGAAATAGTTTATTGACCTTGTAACTGAGTTATGAGATATATACACTTTTACTCTACATTATGTATTGCAACTCAGCAACGCAACAATTTGAACTGTCATCTTATCAATGAAATTATAAATAATTATTGCTAGGAAAAACACAATAGAAATCAGTTACCCAGGATAAATCTGTAAATCGAATACAGAATTGTCCTCATTGCATTAAACTTGAACATGGAGTTTCTCAATCAGACTCACTCCGATCTCAAAAACTTCAGTAGAGCATGAAAATAAACTCATAGTCCTTTGATATGCAGAGTTTGAATCTATCACAAACGATAAATTATTCTATACTGAGATAGCATATGCTTTGATCGTGCAGTGTTTGCCGTTTGAAATGTGCTCATTTTCATCCCAAGAGATAATAATTATCAAGCAAAGTTAGACGTCATCAACTAGTAGACAGTCCTTGAAGATCATTTGACTTTATAATATTACCTCATGTCCGCGATCTTTGAGCTCATGTCCAAGCTTTTCCATAACGATGAAATGACTTCGACCAAACTGTGGCATCATGACGATCTTTGCTGTAAAACATCCATTGGTTGATAGAAGAAGCAATAAACACAGCGCTTTGACGTCCATCATTACTTGTGGTGCACTCCTCCTTTATAAACATACTAAGTTTCTTCTTGTCACGCAAAGGGTGTCCCGATGAACTGCTTTTGTCACATAATCCTTTACCAAATAAGGTAATAAGTTCATGTTATAAACGACTCAGCAATGCATATATTGCATAGTAGTGTATTGTTTTATAGAACATGGATCGCAAATAAATGATCTCTAATTTAGTTTGAAGGGGATTATTAAATGTCATAGTGTGTGTTTCTTTTGTTGAGGAAGCGTGAAACTTCCATCAGAAAAGTAATCACCCATAAATAAACGCCGGTGTTTTCAGTAGTTGAGCGTTTCTATACTAATTATATTGAATTAACATCACTGATGTTTGTTTTTCATAACCCACAGGTGAACACAACATTCATGAAGCGAGATGCGCACTCGTCTGGTAGCGAAACGTCTTGCATCGATTTTTCACACACTGGAAACGTCATGGTTTCTAGAGGAGGTACGTGCAAATACAGAACTGGAGGGAAGGGATAGTTTATTAGCACAGGGGGGCAAGAGGTTGGGGCGGGGGACAATACATAAGACTCTAGGGGGTGGGGAACGAAACATTAAAGCAGGAGGGTGGGGTGGAGGACAATATATAAGAGTAGGGGGTGGGGAACGAAACATTAAAGCAGGAGGGTGGGGTGGAGGACAATACATTAGAGTAGGGGGTAGGGTGTGGGAAGAATCAGAGGGAGGTAAGAACTGCAAGAGTCTCTTTACTGTCAATATATTTTATAATATCATTACAGGCGATGATACAGTTAAATTATGGGATCTTAGGAATTTCAAAAACCCGGTTAACGTTGCTATTGGATTAGAAAATCATCACGCCCAGTAAGTAAAACAGTTATTCAAAACATTTCTTGTTCTTCTTGTGGATATCTGCTTGGATAAGAATGTTGTATTGATTTCTTTCGTATTTTTCCCCCCAGAACATCKTGTTATTTCAGCCCGGATAACAGGCTCATTGTTACTGGGACATCTGTAAGAAAAGGAGAGGTAGGTTACAATAAATCACTCAGAACAAAGTAAGTGTGACTATGAAACAATCAAGGTCACGGCACAGCACAGCATGACCGTACCGTGATTGTTTCATAGTCACACCATCAAAGTCACGGCACAGCACAGCATGACCGTACCGTAGAAGTGTTCACGGTACGGCGGTAGGACAGTACACCTTTTGCTGTTCATTAACAGAAAATGTACATTCATTTGTGCCAATAGTTGTATCAATAACGTGTAATGTACTTTCATCAACACCACAAGTAACATCATTAGCGCGGATCAACTTTCAATAACGACAATTGAATATGCGTGTACATTCATAGGCATCAATGGACAATCAATAGCGCGTTTGTACATTCATATGCGCGAAATGTATTTTCWTGTGCGMGAAATTCAACTTCAACTGACACCAAATGACAAACAATTGCATTTATGGACAATCACTTACCCAAAAGTGAAAATTCATTAGTGCTATTAGCATAATCATTGACAATCTATAACGCGTTTGGACAATCATGAGGGTCAACGTTATATTCTATAGCGTGGTTCGACAAACATTTGCATGATTCGAATAAACATTTAGAAACATTTCGCGCATATGAATGTACAAACGCGCTATTGATTGTCCATTGATGCCTATGAATGTACACGCATATTCAATTGTCGTTACTGAAAGTTGATCCGCGCTAATGATGTTACTTGTGGTGTTGATGAAAGTACATTACACGTTATTGATACAACTATTGGCACAAATGAATGTACATTTTCTGTTAATGAACGGCAAAAGGTGTAATGCATTATGACTGTATAGTATATAATGAGCATTTCATTGGCTTATTGTGCCAGGAATAGTGATAACTAGTTCATTTGTTTCCTGTGTGTTCGTCTTTAATCAGGGAGATGGTAAACTTGTGTTCTTAAACAAAGATACTTTACAACCAGAATATCAGTTCAAAGTAGGAGATTCGGTAAGTCAGTGTTAACCTGTTTTAGTTCAGCACCAAACCTCTCTCGCTCCAAATCGTTTGGTCTCTTCTCTTTCTTTAGGTTGATAGCCACTGACCAGATTATGCGGGCGCATCGCTGATATATTTTGTTTTTTCTGTTTTTACTATTTAGAGTGTAGTGAGTTCGTTATGGCATTCTCGTTTGAACCAAATTGTTGTAGGCACCAGTACAGGCACGGTCAAAGTCTATTTTGATCCAGAAAAGAGCAACAAGTAAGTCGAAGTCTAACATTGGGCTTCCTGTGGCAAAACAAACAAAGCAAAGACTGGAAAGTTGGACACAGGAAGCCCAGTTGGCTAGTGTCACGTGGTATTGCAGCTGATGTGAAAAGAACAATACATTCTTCCCCGCGTAGCCTCGCACGATCAGCGTCTACATGCGGCCGTGTTATCAAGGTCTATGATAACGATGTTTTTGTTTCCTAGGGGAGCCAAGTTGTGTGTGGGTAAAGTAAGACGTCAAAAAGTACAGCGAGACATGCCACTGCCTGATCATATCATCACTCGTGAGTATGATCACGTGATCAGTGTCGGCCATCTTGGATGACACCGGTCACATTTGACAAACACATTTTTGCATTGTTAATACGTTCGCGTCTGCATATAGTCCTGCACGTAATCACTGTCGGAATATTGAATGACACCGATGACGTTTTCCAAACCAATCTTTTGTATTATTAACAAGTTCGTGTCTTCATATTTCTGCRCGGTAGTGATCATGTTGTTTATTTGCAGCTCATGCGCTTCCCATTTATCGCCAATCACAACCAAGAAACATGAAAAAAGTCAAAGAAAAACAAAGAAAGGATCCTCTGATGTCGAACAGACCAGAACTACCCGTTACTGGACCAGGTACATACTTACAAGCATTGGGTTTATTAAAGAAATAGATAGCTTGGGCACGTGTTACGTGTAGTTATATGGCATCATGGGGATTGGCATTACACAAATTATTAGGAATTAGTGTGCAATGTGTTCTCATAAAGCATGCGCTTTAAACCAATCAGGACGCAAGTTTTGTATTATTTTTTATATTATTACATATTTTATTTTATATTATATAAAAACAAGTTTAGAAACCACCAACTAGATGTATTTTTCTACGTTCCACTTTTTCAATTTAAGTGTTTKTTTTTTTTCAAGGCGTGCGGTTTGGGCAAAAAATAAACAGTAGAAATTGCCCATTTCAAGGGCGGATCCAGGGGGGCAAAGGGGGGCTGAAGCCCCACTTCAACAGAAAAAAAAACAAAGCAAAACTGAAGAATTATATGCTTTTTTATTGTTTTCGGTTGTGTTGACGGATGAAACTCAATTAGCCCCCCCTAAACTCAATTAGCCCCCCCCTTAAATTTTGGCTGGATCCGCCTTTGCAAGCTGGATCCGGTGGTTCGATAAAGCCCAGCGAACCTAGTGATGTGTTAATTTCCATTTTTTATTATCAAAAAAGCGGGGCTGTCAATCGCACTATTCGCAACATCCATCAGATTAGAGAAGTTTATTCAGTATGGGATACAAAAAGTGATGGATCTCGAATGTTGTTGTTTTTTCTCCAGGTAAGGGTGGTCGGATCACATCTGGTATGTCTCTATCTGCTTTTGTGGTCAAAAATATCGCTCTGGAGAAAGCAGATGACTCACATCCCCGAGAAGCAATTCTCAAGCACGCTGAGGTATGTTATATTTAGGATATATTTCAATGACAAAGACTTTCAAATATTCGAAATGTCTCAGTTATACTCGGGAATAACTAATGACTAATAACTTATAACTAATAATAACTCYCTTGAGTATTATATCTTTAATTACTATAGTCAAGAGATGTATACTTGAATTTTATAGGCAGCAAAATCAGACCCTTACTGGGTATCACCAGCTTATGACAAGTAAGTCTATTCTATGTTAGTAATCATGTTATTCTTCACTCTTTTCCGGGAGAAAACTTGGGCCAACTCTGAAGCAGATTCACTGCCGTCATGGATCGCAAAAAGAACATCACACGACCCTAAAAATGCTTCAATAACCCAAACTGAATTCGAGAGTATTATAAGGACGGTTCAATAACACTATTGGAATTCGAGAGTAGTCAGGACGGTTTTTATAATTTCAGAACGCAACCAATACCTATTTTCCAAGAACCGGAAGAAGACGATGACGAAGACGATGAAGAGAGTAGCAACAAGAAGATTAGATTGATATAGACAACAATGTTTGTCTTGGAATCCGCTGACCGTTATTATTGCGCGCTATATTTTTAGTGAGTCTTGGAAAAGCTGTTGCTTGATTGGTGGATGGAATGGCTTCAGCCTGGATTGACTTGCTGTGCAGAACACTAAATACCCGGAGTATTGAACGTTTAGCAGATAGAGCCGGCCATAAACTGTTACCTTAAGAAGATAACTTGCCTACCGTTGACTTGCGTAACTTAATAAAAAGTTTCCTATTGCAATGCAAATCGTATTACATATATTTATAAAGGGCATRCAACGACAACTTCACTTCCTACAAGAATTGTTGGCAACCTTGGGGTTTCCAAAACGTCTAATATGTTTTTGTAGCTTGGCTATTGTCTCGGAGCGCCAGTGATCATGACAAATCATTAATCAATCATAACATAACATTTTAATACATTAATAAACATATTTTAACCACAAGTGTAGATTTAAAGCTGTAAAACCTCTCTTAACATTGATATATTTATCCATTCACTCATTAACAGTACCCATTTGACGTACACATATTTACAATTTCAAAACATTCGCGTACCCGCTTACACCCAAGTACCCATTTGACCCCACCCAACCAACACCTGCATCTACCTGTTCATTTATCTACCTATGTACCCTGTACCCATCCAACATTCACCCATCCACTTCACTTCCATCTACCTATTCACTGCCTACATACCCATTTGACTCGCACCCATTGGAACCATTCTACAGGCACCCATAAATATATCCTCCTCTATATACCCCATTTAACTTGCACCCTTCAAACACATACACCTATCAATCATTCCATCCACCCATATAGCCATCCTAATATCYTTTCACCTTCGCATGCATAAACCTATTCCTATCCTACTACCGCACTCCTGACGAAAAAAGTATGTTTATTTACGTACATGGGCCTCCTGTATTGTTATGTAGCGGAGTGGAGCCTAGGTTTGCTGGTTATTTCGCTGACCAGCATAACAGTGGGCGCAATCCACGTGAAAAGATATAAGGTTTTTGTCAGGAGAAACGACCGAAAAAAATGAATGGAAAAAGCTACAAAGAAGCTATTAATGACGTTAAAAATGATAAATATACCAAGAAACATTCTCGTTTTGGGTCATATTTACTGGCTTTACGTCCATGGTCGTTTTCTGCGTCGTTAATTCCCGTTGTTCTCGGAGCGTTGCTGGGGTGGAAGACAACCGGCGAGTTAAACATCCTTCTGACTTTAGTCACTACTGTTGCAGTCCTCTGTGTTCATGCTTCCGGCAATCTCGTCAATACATACTATGATTATCTACGAGGTGTAGATAGTAAGGTTTCAGACGACAGGACGCTTGTAGATCACATCTTGACTCCAGATGAGGTAGTTCGTGTTGGTGCTTTGACTTATGTTGTAGCAAGCTTTTGTTTTCTGGTCGTTGTGAGTTTATCACCCGCCAAGATGGAACATTTGGCTCTCTTGTTCTTTGGTGGACTTTCAGGATCTTTTCTTTACACTGGTGGTATTGGTTTGAAGTACTACGCCCTTGGGGATATCGTTATTCTAATAACCTTTGGACCTTTAGCTGTGCTGTTTTCCTATATGATCCAGTGTGGTCAGTTTGCTAGCTTTCCTCTATACTATGCTATACCACTGGCACTAAACACTGAAGCCATCCTACACAGTAATAACACCAGAGACATGGACAATGACGAAAAGGCTGGCGCAGTGACTCTGACRATACTAGTTGGTAAACATGCATCTTATGCTGTTTACTGTTTGTTGTTGTTTACGCCTTATGTCATCTGTGTTGTTTGGGGTGTCAACATCTCAGTTCGGTACTGCCTGCCACTGCTGACCATAGGTTTTGCATTCAGACTAGAGAAAGAATTCAGAGATGGTAAACTTGCTTCTTTACCAAAGAGAACTGCTAAACTTAATTTTTTCTTTGGGCTTCTGTATCTCATTAGCTTTGTCATAGCTCCACGACTACCACACATAAGGAAATTATAACTATTCACCTTTAGGAACAGAGTAAAGAGAAAAAAATTTTTAAACGTCACTCAACCGTAAATAGTTCATTAAGACCCCCAATTGAATTGTAACAAATTCTGCTATACGCAATGAGTGGAATATTTTGTGTACTYAAAAGACATTGCTTGCTTCCTGCAAAGCCGAAAAAATAGATTTGTGCCAAAAAATACCATGCTCTTGTAAAAAAAAGAGAAGCTGCAATTAAATTAGCCTTACAGTGACAAAATTGAATTAAAGTTTCTGCTTGAACACACAGCAGACTGTTAATGCAATTCACTTGAGGCATCAAGTGATATGCAAATATACACTAGTTCACGGACGGATGATCGGTTGTCAAGCAAAGCCAATTCTTAACTAAGGAGCATTTTTCTACTTTTCYGATCAAAATCATGAAAAATAAATACTAAACATTCATATTTAAACTAAAAGAGGCTGTTTCCTGGTATTTTTGTTTGGTTTAGGCTATTTATAAAAAATATCCCAAAAAGTCACTTAGGCCATTTTCATTTTCATCCCTTCAATTGCTTTTCGTTTAAGGCTATAAATGTATACATTTCRAGCATTTGTAAATACTTCTTTATAGGAGCTTGGTAATTATATATATCTCAATAAATAGATTGTTATAATGTTAAAGATCATTCTAATAAATGTACATTATGAATCCTGTAGTTATTTAGAAAGTTATTTTGTAGATCAATGAGGGGAAATTCAATAAGATGTAAAAAATAAATAAAGATTTTTTATTTTTCCTTTCCCTGCAAATAAAAAGTTCAGTTGATATCAAATGCATTATGTACAGAACTGTACATCTGAAAAGATCTGGTTTCAGATGGCCAGTTTTTTCCTATAACATATGCATGTCAGATAATATTACATCACACRAATGATTTCTAGTAATTGAAAAGTTTATTGTATTGAATAATCCATACCTACTAATTAATCTGCATGGTTATTTGGTATATCCGCCAATCAAAATAATGACAAGAAGCTAAAAATTTGATTGACAGATATACCAAGACCTGCAATCCAGAATAGTGGCTAATACACCAATACCACAATCATTGTTCTACCTCCCTAGTTACAAGCTAAAATRTGTTTCTAATATACTGCATGGAACTGACACTGTTGAAAATTGTTAATGTCTGTCTYWGAATCACTGCATTCTAATTATAAAGGTACATTAAGGAAAAATCAATAATTTAAAAAATCTTAGGAATTCAAGTTCGTAGGTCAGACATTCTGTATTCCATATTGGGAAAACTATCCATTGTTTGGGTGGACACAAGCATAGCTGGGATCGGTCTATTATCCTAGTAAATGAGTAAAAAGATGTATAAATAGGACTCCATAATTATTCAGCTAAATATAATTTTCCATTTTATTCTAACGTCAACTCACAATATTCCAACCAGACCTGATATAAATACATAATAATGAAAGTAAAGAGAAAAGGGAAAAACTTCAAAAATGTCAAGACCCAAGTACCCATGGGTGGGGAGGGTGAGGAGAGTATATTATATGACCCTCTTGTTATGGCAGACCATGTAGATCATAGGAAGTATATAGTTCTTCTGTAGCATCATATACAGGACGAATAGCATCAACTGCATCTTTTAACAGTTTCTTTGCTTCTTCATTGCCAACATCAGCTGGAGATGCCTTCTTAATCATGTCACCAACACTAGCCAGTGTGTACATCGCAAGTAAAGCAGCCTTTCTGATCAACCATGGATGATACTTAGCCAGTGTTTCGTTATACGACTCAGACGCTAACGTAGATGAGCTGTCGTTCTCGCAAGATTCACTCAGTCGCTTCATGAAGAGCATGGTAAAAGCCAGAGCTCGATGAAGCCTTAGTAATGTTCGTGAACCGGATAAAGGTTTAGTTTGGGCATCTGTCAATTTATTTTCAACTTCATAATCAAACATGCACTTCACATTTTCGTATTTATCACCACTTTGATTTGTTCTGTGATGCTGAAGAATTCCTATTTTATCYCTGACATCAGAGGTTATAAATCCAAACACGGATCCAAGGGAGTCAAAGAAGATACACAGCTCATCATATCCTCGGACGTACTCATCCAGACAAATGCTTTCATCTTGCCTCGCCTTCATAAAAGCATCAACCACCACATCTAGGCGAAAACTGCGCTCACACATGACTTACACCAATCAAGGGCAAAAAAACTACTCGTGATAGGCCAGGAATGTTTGATTTTTAAATTTTAAACGATTTAGTAAAGTACTTTTGGTTCCACGGAAGTGATTTTAATCGAATGACCTACTCATTAAATATTGATTTATTCATGGTCTGCAATACCACAACAAACAAATGCGCCAAGTTCTCTTGCGCACGTATTATCAGATATACCCGCTGGTTATCTGTCAGAAGACGTTCCAAAAATAGAAACTAAAATGCTCTAATATTATCCTTTAATACTGTGTTATTATTAGATTAGCTGACCAACAGAATGCCCAATATCAGTGTAGTACCATTAGGTAAGTGTCGATGGAGAGATATATCGAGAYTTCTTTGCTCGTGTGCGAGTACGCATTTGATTTGTAACATTTTATTTATTCKAATAATAATATTAATGTTGATTTTCTGCTTTAATTACAAGTGCATTTCAGTGCGTAAACATCCTCTCTCTCTGATGTTCATAATTATACTGTTATATATTTATATTTACCATGGCTGGCTCACAGTAATATTATTTKTCAATGTTTTTCTTTCCATGTGTCCTCTCATCACTACAGGCGCAGGTCAGGGTAAGTACCTGTATTTACATATTATATTATAAGGTGGCTCTATTACGAAGGGGTGGGGACCATGTCCTCTGTCTGAATCACTTGTCCATGGCTCACATGTCGCCTTTTCAAGGCCATATGTCGGTTGTTGAAATTTACCCCTAACTATATTTTAAATCATTGTTAATGCAGATATACAATTCTTATTTCAAACATAAAAGCAAGGAATATTATAGTCATTGATCCAAAAGCAGAGAGTCTGCAATTATGTAGTCACATATGGACAGACAGACAGACACCTAGATCATACCTCTAACACAAGCAGTCAGTCAATCACAGTATATAACAGGAAGATAGTTGGACCCATATATGTATAGGGAGATAAGTGCTTTTTCTGTTGAATTTAATTCAACTGTCTGTTGTTTTATTTTTGGATTCAGATGTTGGGAGAAGTTGTATTTTGGTCAGTATTGGCGGCAAGAATATCATGTTGGACTGTGGTATGCACATGGGGTACAATGATGAGGTGAGTTACAATTTCTTATTTTACTTCTAATATGCTTTTATTACCTACTATTTTCCCATCTCAAATCGCATGTCATTTCCTTGATAATTATTTCTTTCTTTAACAATAATTATACTACATGTCATTCCCTTGAGTATTATTTTTTATTATCAGTAATGTTTTCATCTCAAATCATCATGTCATTTTCTATAGTCTTATTTCTTCATACAATATAATTCATTGTTTTCAGAGGCGATTCCCAGATTTTTCATACATAACAAGATCAGGTCAACTAACCCAGCATCTTGACTGTGTCTTAATAAGGTTAGAAAATCCTTAACAGGTTTTAAAAAGAACACTACTGTTATCCTCTTGTGAAAAAATATAGTAATGTTTCAATTTATACTTTTTCTTAGTCATTTTCACCTTGATCACTGTGGAGCTCTTCCATACTTTTCTGAGATGGTTGGTTATGATGGTCCAATCTACATGTCACATCCAACCAAAGCTATATGTCCTATCTTATTGGTACGTTAAAGCAATATATTGCAAAACATGTTGTCAGTCTTTTAGTAGTGTCACTTGACATTGTTGATTTACCAACAGGAAGATTACAGAAAAATTACAGTTGAAAGAAAAGGTGAAACAAACTTCTTTACATCACAGGTAATCAATTAAWTTACTTTTGTAAGATATCAAATTAAAAAAAAAACAGAGTACAATCTAAAAATAAGATTATTGACGGGCTTATACAAGCGGAAGATGCTAGAGTGATCTAACTGCAATTAAATTAAGATGATGTTAATGTAATTAAATCTTTATTATACTTGCAGATGATCAAGGACTGCATGAAGAAAGTGATACCAATAAACCTACACCAATCCATCAAGGTATATACAGTACAGCATATATAATAACTCCTTATCTCTCCTCTTCCCTCTTCCCTTTTCCCTCTTCTCTCTTCCCTCTTCCCTCTTCCCTCTCCCCCTTCCCCCTTCCATCTCTCAACTCCCTCTCAAGGCCACTGTGGGAATGATTACAAACCAGCTCAATATCTTTATTCAAACTATTTGAAGGTAGATGATGAGTTAGAGATCAAGGCATATTACGCTGGCCATGTTCTTGGTGCTGTCATGTTCCACATGAAAGTCGGCACAGAATCAGTGGTCTACACTGTGAGTTTGTTATAATATTATTTCATCAACCTTTTTAGTAAGTTAATAAAATCTCTAAAGAAATTTATTTTTATTTTTGAAAGGGTGACTACAACATGACTCCAGACAGACATCTTGGGTAAATGATTACACACATATTATTTAGTAATAATCTTTCACTAACTGTACCCACTATTGATTGCTAGAACCTTTCACTATTGAAGAGTTTAGGGCGTAATAAGTGTGGCTGTCTTTGTCTTGCAGCTCTGCATGGATCGATAAATGTAGACCAGATATCTTGATCACTGAGTCAACTTATGCTACAACTATTAGAGACTCTAAAAGGTAAAAAAACTTATCTATTCTTAGGGTGCATGTGACGTCATAGCCACCATGTTGGTTGACCTTGAAAAAAATATTTGTTTTTGGTGTCTTTTGTCATGTCAACCAACATGGTGGCCTTGTGTCTTGTTCTTTCATTCTCATGGAAGGGATGGACRCTTCCAGTAACCCCATGGTTTTTATCTTTTAACAGGTGTCGAGAACGTGACTTCTTAAAAAAGGTCCATGAATGTATTGACAAAGGAGGAAAAGTAAGTCAGAATCAAGTTCTATCATCTACTTTACAAGTCTTCAGGAAACGTTGAGAGAACAAGACACTGCKGGGAAATTAGTACACCCACCCACCCAACCCACTCAGAAAATTCAAAACAAGTGAATTGTGAAATCAGTTGAATCCCCACTCCTCTCTCTAATCAATGGAATTAGCACTACCTACCCAACCCCCACAATATTCTCTTTGGACTCAGTGACCATAATCCTGATATTTGTAGGTTCTCATACCAGTATTTGCTTTGGGAAGAGCACAGGAACTGTGTATTTTACTTGAGACATACTGGTAAGGACTTATGACAGCCATGATGTTGTACCTTGTGATCATCATGTTGTTGTGGAAGAAAGATATGTTTTATAGTTCACTTARAGCTTCAAATGTTTCCTTTCAAGATGTCTAGCATATGCTAACAGTTAACTATTTTGTTTTCCTACACAGGGAACGAATGAATCTTAAAGCTCCAATTTATTTTTCAACTGGGCTCACTGAAAAGGTAAAGCCTTGGAAAGCCTCCCTCTCTGAACCCGTCTTGACGATGGCAGGAAATAGAGCATTCAGTACCCACTTCCCTGCAGCATAATATTCCCAATGCAGTTAAATTTGGGGAGCAAAACCATGGAAGCCTAACCTCTTAAGAAATATCATTCATCATATATTGCCTTCCAAATCTAGCTGCACTGAAAACGGGGTCTGTGGAATATGGACATTTCYCATTCAGTTTTGATGTTGTTATTCATCCCAGGCCAATCACTACTACAAGCTGTTTATCACCTGGACAAACCAAAAAATCAAAAACACTTTTATCAAGAGAAACATGTTTGAGTTTGAGCACATTAAGGTAAAAAGCAGAGAGAATAATGGGATGCAATCCACTTGGGCATAATGTTTTCCCATTTCAGACTACATGTATGTCGCCATTCCCTAGAGTATCATTTTTTTGTTTAATGGCTGTGCTGAGAAGTCACATGAAAATGCTACCCTCAAAAAAAGAGTCTTTTTATCAAGGGAWTGACATGTGGTCTGTAATGGAAAAACATGGGTCCATTTGTAGCATCCTTTATTCCATAACTTGATTTTTCTTTATTGATTTGTTTAAGAAAAAGAATTCACGTGACAATCTTTTGTTTATCTGTGTTACAGCCATTTGATCGTTCATATATTGATCAACCTGGACCTATGGTAAGATGCTTGTTTCTAGTTTTTCTCTCCAAGTTTTCATCCCTCTGCAAAACCATACATGCYAAGTTTTAATTTTAGTTGGGCATTACTGAGCATTTTATTTCTTTTTTTCAGGTTGTTTTTGCTACACCTGGAATGTTACATGCAGGACTTTCTCTGCAGATTTTCAAAAAATGGGCCTCAAATGACAACAACATGGTATATATTATCAATTCATGGAGAGGGATTGGAATATTCCTGGATAAGATATAAGTTATATACARTCATGTAATATTATTTCAGGTTGTTATACCAGGATATTGTGTGGCTGGTACCGTTGGTCATAAAGTACTGGCTGGACAGAAAAAGATTGAGTTGGACAAAAAAAATGTGGTACGTACAGCTGTACTATGGTATAAGCCATATCACTATTTTTTCATGTATTATGCTCAGTTTTTAAATGGAATCTTTCTTTGTTGAATAGATAGATGTCAAGCTATCAGTGCAGTATATGTCTTTTAGTGCTCATGCTGATGCTTCTGGGATTATGCAGTTGATTCRCCAGGTGAAGAAACTCTTAGCTGTCATAGGAAAACCTCTTTTCGCTCCCTCTCTCATTCCTTTCTTCCGTCCCTTCTTTCATCCCTCTTCCCCTCCCTTTCTCCTTCCTTCCTTTCCGCTATTTCTCCCTCCCCTCCTTTCTTCTGTCCATCCATCCCTCCCTACTTCCATCCCACCATTCCTCCTTCCTTCCATCCCTTCCTCTCTCCTTCCATCCCACCATTTCTTCTTCCTTCCATCCCTCCTTCCATTCCTCCTTTCCCTCCCTCCCCTTTCTTGTTTCGTGTTTCGTATAAATTTGAGATGGTCGTGATCATTTTTCATTTTATTTTTATATTTTTCTTCAAAGGCTGAGCCAAAGAATGTCATTTTGGTTCATGGAGAAGCAGGAAAAATGGACTTTTTACGACAGAAAATAATGCAAGAATTTAGTAAGTAAATAATYTTTTTCATCATTACATGAYCACCAAYATTATCATCTTTGTAATCACTATCATCATTCTCAACATYATCATCACYATCATTGTTGGACATTAAGCCAATTATCAAAGGCCTTTACACAAGTCYACCCTCTTCTGTCCCACAATGCATCACTTCATATTACCTTACGATATTTTGCACACTAGACATACAGTGTTACAAACCAGCCAATGGAGAAACAGTCTACGTCACCACTGAACCCTGTATAACTGTTGATATGGCACTTAGTCTGCTGAAGAGAAAAATAGATGCCATCTCTGCTTCAGGTTTGTCTTACCCCCTCTGGTGTGAAGTTTAGATTTATTAATTTATATCGTAACAGATATAATAAACTAAAGCCATATTTAAGAAGGGGCATCTAGGATCAACCTTCCTATCTCTGTTGCTCAGGGTTAGCCCTATCACATTCACGTTCCAGTGAAGTTGCAGTAAAAGGAAGATGCGCATTCTTTACTTTACCATTGGTATTTGTGAATATTTTGACACTGAATTAATCAGTATGTAATCAAGAAACACAGCAGTATTTCAAGGTCTATTTATTCTACTATTTACGTGTGTTTTTATGTCTGTATAGATATTAAAAGAGCCAAATTAACACCTAATAACAACCATCTACCACTGCAAGGCGTTCTGGTCATGAAGGACACGGTAAGATATCCTACGTACTATCACCATTCTTACTGTAGTTAGTGTTTGACTATCTTTCTTTCTTGCATCAGTCGTTTCGTTTACTGGAATCAGAAGAAGCCATGAAAGAGCTAGGCCTTACTCAGCATCAACTACGRTTCACTTCTACTGTTACCATGGAGATATCTGAACCTAGTAACGTGATATTGGAAAGGTTACATTCTCATCTTGAAAGGTAATACATCAGCTGGGTGCAGGGTTTAATCTTATTGGTTCGTTATGGATTAACATTGACTTAACAGATCAAAATCAGTTTTTCATGTTTGATACTCTGATCAAAACACGCGGGATGTTGAGAGAACACGAGAGGAGCGTAGGAAACCACGACACGTAGCAGAGTTTTATAAAATAACAAACTCGCGAAAAGATCGAAAAAAAGCAAATTTAAGTAAATTCTCCATACATGCCGTCTTATTCAAACTGACCAATGGGCGCGCGCGATAGATTAAAAATGACGATATCGTGTTTTGATACTCTCATCAAACATGGTTTTTGACCAATCATAGCGAGCGTAGTATCCCAATTATTTTATAAAGTGAGATCATCTTACCCAGGCCTTTTCTCCAACCTGGAAACGAGGTTGATAGTAACCTTATAAATTGTGGTATTTTTATAGGCTATTACCCAACTATACCATACAAAGAATCACCGGTGGATGTCTGTCTATCGACTCTGTACTTTTAAAGGTAACCATCAAAACTGTGATGAAAACCACTTCATCCCCAYCCTCACCTAATCTTATTATATTTGTACCTTAGAAGTGCATCCAGGAGTGAATTTGGTTTTAGGCTAGAGAGATTTTAAATTTCTTTCATCAAGGAGACTTGAGAGTAAGAGAAACTGTAGAAAAACTTTCTTTCTCTCCTGCTTTTTTCGTTTCATTCAGATCTATTCAGGGCTCCAAATGATAGCAAATTTTTCAACGAAAGGATGACCCTGAAGTTTAGTGAAGTGAAGGTTTCATTCATTTCATACCCGCTATTTCGTTTTTCATTCCCAGTTAAGCGACAGTGCATCTTCAGATGATCGTGGAACATCTYCGWCYAGTTCCTGTAGCTTACTCGTCTCCTGGTCATTCCAGGTAARTCTTGATTGATGCCTCGGTTACATGGTGCAGCTGTTGYGCAGGGSCATTTSCAGCAGCGTTGCAGGTCATGTTYACACCATGGTACTTGTTGCACGCTTCGTTGCAAAAGTATAWCTCGATTCTATTTTAATTGTTCAGAGCAACAGTTAGAGAGTTTGTGCTGGGTCTTAACGTGCCAATTATTTTTAGCCGTGTAAGGAATATAGTTAGATACAGTTTAATTTGCTGTTCAACAGGATGAAGAGCTTGGGAGTCACRTGCTGTCTTTACTGCGAAATCGCAAAGACATCTTAACTTCACAGACTCCAATGGAAGTAAGGCCTTCATTGACTAGATATTGATGTTGTACGGGTCTTCTTTCCAAGATATAATGGATGCGGGCTGGATGACCTCGTACTGCATAGGATTACGGTACAGAGTTGAAGAACAAGGGATCAACTGCTTTTGATCTAAACCCCATCATGCATAGGTCGCGCCTCTATTGCATTGTCAATGAACAGTAGACTTTCACATCTCTTCGAGGCTTTTATTTGCAATAACCGTGTCGTACTGTTCTCTACAGAATCCACTTTACACTTGACTTTAAAACTTGGTAGATTTATAAAAGGATCTCCAAATTTGTTACATTTAGCTGAAAATCAGGATAGATTTTGATTTGTTTTGATTGCGCCTTCTTTTCTCTAATATTCTTTTCCTCCGGTTTTCTTCCGTTTGCAAAACACAACGTGCAAAATTGCAATTCCATCTGTGAGTTAGCCATTCCCTGACATAGGATGTTTCGGGCTGTAGTAAAATACATTGATTTTATTTCCCCACTTTCTGTGTTTTGTCATTGAGTTCAAACCTTCAGTTCAATCTACTATACGAGAAATGTAAAAATTTAGCAAACAAAGCCAAATGTCCATGCTCTATATTCTTCAATTGTTGCGATACAGATTGTGTAAAATCCAGAGGACACTGACTTTGTGACTATTATCGAGAGCTCCTTTTAGTCGCTTATTAAACTGCTTGACTGCCTCATCTTCAGACACCTCGAGGTTCAAGGTTTTTCTGAGGTAACCAATGTCACTGGGTGTGCGTAGTTCGGGTATCCCAGCAGATAACATCATTACAAAAAGATTGATCAGCAGTGAACCCTTGCGACGAAGAATCAGGAACGCCTGCTCGCAAATTCCTCTGAAACTGAACACAATAACAGGTGATTAGATTTAATTATTTTGAGTTATAACCTCCAGTTCTTTTCCCTCTTGAAATAAGAGTGTACCAGACTAAACAAAATCCCTTGCCCTCAACCAATACTATCTCTCTGGCGGACATGTCTAGAGTAGCTTATTTTTGCTTATTTAGTTTAAAAATGTGAGTTGTTATAAGAGCAAAGTAAGCATCAGCTCAGGACCTTCAGTCTTCGTTAAAAACACTTGCATTCAAAGGGATGCTCCTCCAAGGTTAATACATCATCCACTCTGCTTTCACTGACAAAAAAGATAAATATAGAGTTTCTTACTATTGAAATTCTTCAGTGTCCTCGGGTTTGCGGTCTGTTCTTCCTTTAGTTATCACGTGGACAAAATGATCYGTCAAGACGAAAGGAACTCTCTCTCGACGAATACCAAATTTCTTTTTGAAGTTACCAAGAAAATGACCAAAGTCAATGTGGAAGAGCTTAAAGTCAGAAAGTAAGAAAAAATGAAATAATACACTGTATCGGCACTACTTGAAGTACTGGTTTGATTGTTACCTGTCCTGTCTTGGACACCATRATGTTATCACTGTGTCTGTCACCCACTCCCAGTACATACGTAGCTACACAATACCCAGCACATGACATCGTGAACCTACGTATTGCTTCATTCAAACTAAAAAAAAAGAAAGAAATCAAGTTCAAAATCATCTTCAACTGGCCAATAGGGAAGCACCGGTGGCGTGCGCTGCTAATGCGCCGCCTCTCASCGATGCAACCCAAGTTCAAGTCCTGCCTGTTGGTTCTCTCCTGTGCTTCAAGGGTTTTTCTCCAGGTTCTCCGGTTTTCCTCCCTCCTCAAAAATCAACTACTATATTCTAATTCGATCTTTGGGCTTTCACCTAGTTTGGAGCCTAGCTCTGTTGTGATTGTCCCATGCTGTGATACAACAGCTAAAGCTAGTAGAATAAAAGATAACAAGAGATTGTTTTCTTACTCGTCTTTTTCCCCGTGCCAAGTATTTAACCAATCCAAGATACAACACTTGTTAAGAGCACCAGATATTGCTCCTTGTCGTGTTTGAATCTTGGCTATAGTTTCTGCATTATCAACCACCTGGATCATACCAACTTTATCCCCAGTACATAAACATCCATAAGGAATCATGCTAAACAGAAAATACAAGCAAAATATTGTAAAAATTAYAACAACAAATGATTGTCTACTGAGAACACCAGCAGACCACTGACGAAAGGGGACTGTCAGTCTGCGACAACATGGACAGCCTTGCGGCTTACCTATCTTTAAGCCCAACCTGGTTTTGTTGCCGGGTAGAGAAAAGAAAAGGTTGGAATACAAAGAAAGAGCAGCGAGTATGACTTACTCTAGATCTAGTCCTTCTTGCTTCCACAGTCGATCCATGATCCTTATCAGCTGTAAGGTCAACATGTCTTGACGCAGATCTAAAGTAGAAAGAGAGAGGTAGATAAGCTAATGTCTTGTTAAATAAATATCTTGATTAACGTCACACTCACCATCCCCACTCTTGAAGATTATCTTCACAGGGTTTGCTAGTTCATCATGGTTTTCAAAATCAAGCCACAACGGCTTCATCTTGGAATCCATAAACTTACACTTGTCCACCCTGAAAGTTTAAAACGTTTRATATGTTTAAAATTATCWTAGGATGTGGTTTGTTACTACCACATAGTCATAAGGGCACACTGCAGGGCGTTCAACACAGTACTTTGAATAGCATACACAGGAAAGCAAACACCTAGTGAAAGAACTTTTTCAATCATTTTGAAATGTAAAATTTAAAACAAATTTTGTGTGACTGTAAAAACATTTGTACAGTACAGTGACATACATGTACTTTATCTAATGGAGTAACAAGATAGAAGAAACCATCRAGCACGTCATGATTCAACTCACCTCAATCTTCTGAGTTTGTAGGTTGGATCAAGAGGAGATATTAGTTTGGAAAGAGCTTCCTGGTAGGTCTTATGTTGCAAGCATTCTCTCATTGTCTGCAAACCTTTCTCTCTTTTACTACTGTCCACATTGTACAGCAAACTGGAGATGGTTTTGAGCTTCTTTAGTGCTTCAATCTGAAAGAAAAACAATTGCAACCAATTTTCTTGAAATTTCAACCTTCCATAAAGAGTCATTACCTTATGATTTGAACTATTTCGACATTGTAAGAAACCATGTTGCCAAAACATGTTCTTTTTTCTTAGTTTTTKGATACAATATCTTCACAGCATCTTTAATAGTGAAACACCAACAAACCTGTTTTTGCAAGCTCTTTATGTGATCAGGMGCKCCTCTCAGATATGCCTCCAGCATCAAACCAAATCTTACAGACACTTCAGGATTGTGCATCTCRGCTCTTAACAGCCAAAACAGAGAGTGGCCTAATACTTGATYGTTGAGTGCTCGCTTGAGGATAAACATTGCTAAGTCACAGTCCAAATATGACTCAAATTTAAGAACCTGAATGAAGACGCAGAATATGAATGGAGATATTTACRACAGCAAACACTTGAAACAAATTATAGTCGAGCACACAGTCTTAGCTTCTGAGATATTCTTGCTAAAGTTTTGAGTTTGTAGAGCATAGCAACAGTAACTAAGGGGAATTGGAGCCATAAATTACACTTTGATTCCAGGACTTGGGATGAATCAGCAATGTTTCAATGTGATTGGCTCAAGTTTCTTATTTGAAATCATTGATTTCAACTTAGCCAAGATCAGGGTTTTAGAAATTAACTYATAGGCATTAATTACTCGAATTTCTCCCCTCCACTAGACTCAACTGGCAGGTCAGATTTTATGGGAAATATAACATAGCTGAATGATATATCATTACCTGGACTAGTTGTAACAAATATTGACCAAGATCACCATCACTGAAAAGACAAAACAAATATTTAATCTGTTGTTATTCTGCGATTGCGATATGGATGACCAAGAGCAGTTACAATACATACCTCATATTCTCRAGGCATCTCACAGCAAATTCTCTGACTTTCTGGTCAGCATAATTACAATCTAGGATCTCCAGAGCTTGCTCAGGATCAAGAGGTTCCCAAGTCTGTAAGAGCACTTGCATCTGTGAATTCAAAAAGACTTTGAATTTGAACGTGGCTAAGGTAAAAGTAATACAGAACAAATAAATAAAATAAATCTCTTTATTTAAGTGTCTAGTTGTCCTAGCGCTTTCACACTAATTGGGGACACTTTTCGCTCACACACACTACCACTACATTTAATATTCTATGCACACAACATTGCTCAATTCACATGTTATTTTTTATGGAGGGAGGAAACCRGAGAACCTGGAGAAAACCCTCGTAGCATAGGACAGAACAACACATCAAAAACGAACTCAATTTACATGTGGCGATCGCAGGGCTCCAACCAGCRACCCRACCCGTTGGACTCACAGYGGTGAAAGATGATGTGTTAGCCTTGTACGCCACCCATAATCACAATCACATCCTAGTAAAATTACAAAATCACACAAAGGCAGCCAAAAGAAGGGGGAGACAATCTTTGACTTAATGTTAGTACCTGTGCTACATCTTCCTTGCAGTTCCACTTCAAACAGCTCAGTAATTTCCCCAGTGCATGTGGATAGTCCTCTCGGCATTTCATTCTATGGTACCAAATAATAAAATGTATATCAAATATTTAAAGATGTGTGATTAGATTAATATGTTACATTTAAGTTATGTGAAAGCCTCTTCTTCGTAATTTTAGTCAATTTCATTTGTTTTGATGTCATTACCTTAGCAACCAGACAAAATCCTTATCTTGCTCAAGGATTGGATCAAGTGGCTCTCTATCGATAATCTGCCGCAACTTTCGTAATTCACTTTCAGAAAATGATTTCTAGAAATTATCAAATTTTAAAAAATCAGCTGATAGAATAAAGTAGGTTTCTTGATCTATTTTATTCATAGATTCAATTTATAAAAATAATGGCTTCTAGAAATAATTTGTCTCAAAAAAAGACAAAAGAATGATATGATAAAGACACGTATACTGTTTGGAGGGACTCAGGAAGAGTTATTTACACTCCTTGGGCACTCAATATCCTTGATAAATAAGTTAGTTTTGTTTTCTTCATTTTTATGTTTTATCTTGCTTTTTCCTTTGAATCATCCTTTGCCTCATATCAACTCYACTTTTCTTCTAATTCCCTCTTTTACTCCAAGGAAGGGCTAATGTCCAAAACTTAAGTACACTTATATCTTCCAYACACACTGTTTAGGTTTCATTCTTATTCACTTGTTACGAGATTAACATATTAATAGGTTTAACTTACGTAAATGTCATCGTGGGTGTGATCTGCCGCCATATCCACAATCTAGAATCACAGTGCATATTAATAGTGAGATTATTATTTATGCTGACATTGTATTCTCATTTCTTTCCTTTGAACAAATTAATCTATGGCTATGTACTGACAGAGGAAAACCTTGGAAAACTCACAGCTAGAGTTATGGCACTACATCGCACCCGCTAGTCTCCTACTCAGCTGCTATAAGTGTCGTCACGCAATGCTCACTTCCCTAAGTAGGGAGTAAGCATTGCGTGACAAACCTAATAACGGCTGCGTAGGAGACTACGCACCCACAAAACGATTTAAAATTATATAATTTTACTTCTCAAATAATCTTTTTATTGGAAATATTCTTAGAACTAAACTTCAATTTAGCGATTCCTGAAAAAGCTTTGGGATGATSAAAGGCTGGGCAGGCACAGGGTCTTGGAAAAGACCCTTGAATCAAGATAATCAGTTCATATGTGGTGCGAAGTCCTGAAAATGAACCAAAGACCCCAGAGATGTCATACCACTATTGCTGTTGTAATATGATTAAGGAAACGTTTTTGAAATTTACCTCATGATATGGGGGGTAAACTACTGTATTCGCATAGCGCTGAAACTCAATCAGGAGAACAGGTGACATATTGGTGTTGATATGGSACACCACTGTACCAATAGGGTTCAGTTGCTCAGCTATTGTTTCAGTTACTGGCCACGTCACAAGGGTAAGTGGTCCTTGCYGAAGTTGGCCACGAAAGTCAAACAAGGTTGTGTTGACCCAAGCCAAAGGAATGGAATCCTGAAATAGTGAATAAAGTAAGTGGCAATCTGTACCACTTCTAATTTTACAAATAAATAATTAATTGTATATTTCTAGAAACTATGAGCTGCAGATTTACTTAGGTAATGGAAAAATGTGGATGCCTTGTGCACAACCAACTAGTACACTGAAAGGTAGGTAACTGTTGCTTTAATATTAAATTGCAGTGATAATCAAACATAATATGGTATTGTTAAACAGTCATCTATACATCAAGCTCTTCTTTACCTTGGTTTTGTTTCTGCTCTTGGTATCATACACCCCATAWARSACKAGACAGAGTCGAGCCATTCTTGGTATATCAGAAACAAGAATATCAAAATTGAGGAACTCAYTCCAAACTGGAGAAGGACCGTTACAAAGCTTGGAGTTGTTGATTCCACAAAGAACTTGGTGACCATGGTATATACCTGCACGAACTGCAACCTTAAATAAACACCCAAACAAGCATGTTTACTGTGAAGCACAGGTGGGATAGCAGTGAGAGCACTTGCCTTTCACTAAGATGACCCGGGTTGGATTCCCTGATAGGCATCGTATGCGACTAAAAATGTTGTYTGTTGGTTCTCTACTGTTTTGAGGGTCTTTCTCCTGGTTCTCCAGTTTTTCCTCCGTTGCAAAAATGAATTTCTAAATTCCAATGGGAATCCAGTAGAAAAAGAGTAACTCTGTGGATGCACTGTTTATTCCTTTTCATTGTTGTTGTTGTTGTTGTCTCTTTAAATACAAGCTTGCAAAAAGCTAATTATGGTATGGGATACTTACTTTTATAGATTCTCCAGTGTTTACGTTGAAGGCTGACACAATTTTGATTTTCAAGCTTGTATTAATACTCCATAATGATAGGCTTTCTTCACGAGGGGGGAGGGGTGGGGGTGGTCTGGTAACTGGATCAACAGTCTGTTTCCCTGTTACGCTTATATCTGTCACTTTCAAGGAATCTCTCTTTACAAGACACAGTACTGGTCTTTCACATCTCGTTATGCAGTCTTGTATGTACTGAAATTTAAACCAGGAAATATAATAATACACTAATCTACACAAACAATTCAAGGAAAAATATAATCTTGTTAAAATAATGTACATAACTTAATAATTTTTTTCTTGTATTATTTTTCAGTTTTATGGTTCATTACCTTCACTGTTTTCCAATCTCTCTTGAGACATAACATGGCAAACAGTCATTGATAATTTTACAATTCATAATGMATGTATTCCTAAAAGATTTTCTAATATCTGGAAAGAAAGGTTTTATGGAAAAGCCCTTTTAAGGAGAAAATTCAGACCTGAGATATTTTTTAATAAGAAATCATAAAATTCCTTAAGAACTCTTATTTTGATGACACACTTCGTTGACCACCCATCAATGATTAGCTATCATTATTGCTGTGCCTTAATATATTGATTCTGGGATGTGATAACTGCTGTCAAATGACGTTGTATCACAGGCATCCATGGGACTATTTTCCTCCACAGCTAGGACAGAAACTAGTGATGGCTGTGGAGCGGACTACCATGGGACCAATTTCAGCCAAAAGGCTTTTTTCATTTGAATTTTTTTTCAAAAATCATGTTGCTCTCAGCTCATGGCCTCCCTTTTGACAGCAATAACATCTTGAATCAATCTATTGATTCCACATTACAAATGACACAGCTCTTGTGGACATCACCATCATTACCTGGTATTGAAGTAAAGTATAGTCACCCAGGAGGTAACATTCTCTTCCTAGAACCTTCAGCACAAAATCRTTAAGGTTATCAGTCTCATGATGYYCTCCTCCCATGATTGCTCCCCTCTTCCTCAAAACAAGCAAGAGTAGCTCCTGAGGGTAGATGTCTGCTGACACRTTAAACGCATGCATATCTTTCATAGATGCTCTRTCGCTCCTGATGGMTACGTTCACCAGGAATCTACGGTTTTCCATGAGATTTCTCTCTACAAATTTTGGAGCACTTTCACCCAAGTCCACTTGAGGGGGATAGGCGTACATGGCTCTTTCTTCCCATTCCAWCTGTCTACGCTCACGGGCTATGCCTTCTACAAATTCTCCATAACGTCGCCTAAACTCATCGACTTCTGCATTCTTCATTTGTTCATATTCTTCAAGGTTTTTTCCTATGAGAACGCTGATCTTTGAAGCTAATAACTTTTCTTCTTTTTCACCTTTCCGCTCAATCAGCTTCAACATGGGTCTGAAAGGTCTTGCATCAACAAGCTGTCGATTCTCATCAACCAGTTCTTCCACTTTACCTTGCAAGTTTACACAAACAAAAACATAGCTACCCATGTCTCTTAACAGGTTAGAAAGAGGAAAGCTGGTAGATTCTCGCCATAATTTGGTTTTAATCTCAGTGAGAGTTGCTTCAATCCTCACTTCAATCGGGATCAACACACCATTCGGCATCAAACAGTCGACGTTCACAATCGAACAAGCGGSCATATCGGCCCACATATCTAGTCGACTAACTGGAGGCATCTTGGATGACCTATAGACGTTCACTAGTCAAGATCGTGGTGAGATCTCACAAGTTATTGTTCGATTTCATAATATGTTTGACGCTCTTGATCTACCAAAGCTTCCGCATCATCACCGTCACACCTTGACTGTTTACGTGGTCATGCACAAAAACCATGCGTAACAAAGCGATGGGGAACCATCACATTTTACCTTATATATATATATATCATATTCTATCAAATGACAACGACTCCATAGTTTTATGATCTTCAAAAATTAAGCAGTGTATCAATACTTGTACAACTCGTACAGCTCCCGGTATAAGTGTAAAACCTCAAGCTTGTGAAAACGCAACCTTGGAGATTACGTAGCTTGATACGCCTTCCTTTATCAACAAGTCKACCTCGACTTTAAGGTATGTTCAAATGTATTCCTTTTCATGTCTTCCTTCTCTTTTAAACGAGTATAAGACTGTTAACATTTACCAAACGTTTGTTGTTCACTTWGTTCCTGCAGCCGCCATATCTAAAATACGTCACCACAGGGAACCCAAGCACAATATACCAACACTTCTTGGCTCTTTTACTCCGACGGACTAGCGTCCGAAACGTCAGTAAGTTTTTTCATCTTTTCACGGTGTATAATTTACCTTTTCGTCATTACTGTTTCATTAGAAACACCGACGCAGCTCACACTAGTTTTTAGCTAGTTATATCACAATATTCATACACAAATCCTTTTCCCATCATGCCTTTCGCTTCTAACATTTCGCGCCACACGATTTTGGGACGCTAGCTTTCTTCATCYCGTCTAGTACACTGAAGCAACGAAAATACACGCTGTTGGTAGCAACTTGTAAGTTTATTCGTTTAGTTAGCTATAATGACGATAATTGTTATTCAAAGTATTCTTTCAAAACTAAAAATTATAAATAGGGCCCGYGAAACGACGCCGGAAAATGGTCGTCGGGATCCGGGTGGGGGAAACCGTATAAMCACTGTTTTATTTAAGTTACATTTYAAAATATCTTCTATTTTAAGTTTATTAAATGATATATGATTATTCTACCTAAAACACTTCACGCATGCGTTGACATACTAGCGTATGAGACCAGTGTAAGATTGGTCTGTGGGCCTGCGTTATCTCTAGTCAGCGCTTCAAAGCGAATGGATTGCACATGCCCTGAGAATTAGATTTGTTTATATATGATTATTATCTTTTATTATTTATTATTATTTATTTATGACAACTTTGTTTGCGAAAAATAACACAAGAGTCAAAAATCACAAAATGGCTGCCAGCAGAGAAGACCTGAATCCTCATCGTGTGAACTCATGTAAAGCTTATTCCCAATTAACTAAAAACTATTAAACAACTAGATTATTACCGTTATATAAAAAACTTAGTAAGTAAAGTACGCCAAACACTATGCCTACAATAGACGTCTTTTGAGGTAGGACCAACACTTCTTGGTCGTAGGACGGAATGGCTAACATTGCAAGTGGCAGACATAGAAGTGGAAAGAAGAAGTACTTGGATACGTAAATACCAAGGATTGATGTCACTATGTGAGGACTTAGAAGAAGAAGTGGAAACACCGTCATTGCAATRTGGTTGCCTAGCAATACGGCTAGTGTACCAGCGCCTCTTTCTTTGTCAGATTTGATTGAGCGAATGTTCTGGCTGAAAAATACAACAACAAGAGTTCAAKTTTGATTAAGATTACAGCTCCGCAAAAAATCAATGATTTCTTCTGGTCCTRCTGCAGTATTCCTGCTTATGCTGTAGTGATGTCCCCACTATTACAAAAGCCGGAGTTGTCCCACTAATAAAGGCTTTCCTTTTGCATTTTTTCTGCTCAGGGGAAATGGTTAGTATTCCTACTAAGTAGTCTCCTATAAGATGATCAACCATCTGGATGGACTTTCCAACAGRTGATGTGTTTTGGGTCGTTCACTATACACATAGGTGTATTTAGCCGACAAGAAATAGACCCATTTGTCTTTTTCCCTCTCAAAAATGGCTCTATGGTAGAGCCATTTTTGAGAGGGAAAAAGAATTGGTAGAGCCATTTTTGAGAGGGAAAAAGACAAATGGGTCTATTTCTTGTCGGCTAAATACACCTATCCATAATCAAGTATGCTTAACCTCTAAAACTGTAAATATCTTAATGGTGGCATGAATAACTTGAGCAAACTTTCCATTAAAAGATTCACGCCTCAGTGACCTTAATTTTAATTATACCAACGCTATAAAGGAGTATATTGCTGGAGGGAGCCAATTATCTTTSACAGCAGGCGCTGCTGAGCAGACGATTGATATGGTCACTAGTACTGATACGATACCACCATCAGTAAATAACAAGACTAAATACTAATATAAATGTTCACTACCATTAAATATGATTTTTCCATCCAGCCACGAGTTATTATKGAATTCCTTTCGCGCCAGCTCTTAATTGATATTCAGTAATCGATATTGCGTGTCGTGGAACGAACCTGATACTTATAGATTTTTAACACAATATTAAAAAAAAACAACGAAAAAAGATTCTAATGTGTTATTACCTGTGGAGTAGACATTCAGTATTTAGTGCCAGAGGTAGAGAATAAAGTGCCAGTAGTTGTATAGAGAGCTCCCTGGTTGGTCCAACCTGAACAGCGTAAGCAAACATGACACACAAAGGCCCATAGACGGCGCTCACTGCTAGCTCCCCTAAAGCCAGGTTCTTCAAGTAGTTGCCAAACAAAACAGAGCTCAGAAAACCGACTACAAAAAGAATCAACTCCTGCCARAGATTTGCTCCAGAGAATACCAGAAGAAACGCAAATGTAGGGATGACAATACAATAAGAAACAACAGCACAACGAGCTGATTCTTGTATTRTTAAATAACGCTCAATGGCAGATGAGTAAAAACGTCTGGTTCTTGCTTCGTAGTAAGAACTAACAAAGTTTCCCGCTGCGTGAGTACCGATGATCACTAAACCACACAGCACTAAGATGAATGGATCGAACTTGTTGCTTGACTTCCAAGCAAGGAGTGTGCCAAGCATTACAGGAAGAACACACGATGGTAAAGTCCATGGATTCAATGATCTGACACGAACTTCAAATACTGATAGATATCTCTTGTTGTCTGCCATATTGTTTGGTRTAAGAGGACTGTTGATGGTGATTAAATCGATCAGAATGACAACGAAAACRTGCAGCTCTATTGGATTGACGACGAGTATAAACCTGTTACCGGTTGAGTGACCACCAACACGCATGCAGTATAGTATTTAGCATATTTGACCTGTCTGCTACATGACTGAAGATTGACGATCCCATTTTAATGGTACAACTGCATTATTTATTGCATGTCACCACACAACCAACGAGTAGTTTTAAACCACTTGTAGTTGTTATTTTACAGCACAAAAAAGACATCAATTTTTTCTGGTGTTAAAATGTTGTCGCCAACACTAGATACACCTACTTGCAAGAACGTTGTCATACGATACTAGAACATTAGTAATTTAGTGAGAAAGGAATACATTAAAAGACAAAAGAAAAAGTTCAGCTTCAATGATCTTCTTTTGTTTTTTAATATAATTCCTATCCCACTAAATCACTGTTCTAATTTCGTATGACAACGTTATTGCAAGTAAGTGTATGTTAAGAGGCCCCCTTTCTTCGCATGAGATGATGTCACGCAACTAAAAAATAAAACCCTCCGGTGGATCATCGTCACGCCTTGTTTATCTGTCTGTACTGTGCTGCTGCATTAGTCGATTCTAGCGATTCTTATGCCGAGTTTACGACTGCAGACTTTTTTTCCGCGCTTGTGTGTAAATAAGCAAACAAGAGGCGATATTGAATGAATTGTTGCAAAAGGCTATGGTGTGCTTAAGTATTGCACATTTTTGAATGGTAATGCACAAAATGAATGGTAATGATTCGTATTGGCACCGGTCGACCTTTCAGAACTGTCAGGTTGGAAGACACTGAACAACATTACCATCCACTTTGCTGGAAACAACGAAATTAGCACTTTCAGTTCTTACTGCATGCGCAAGAAACAGGGAGCCGTTTTCTTTAGCAGAAAAAGCAGGACGTGCATAATGCATGTGCCGCTCTCCATTTAATGACTGATGAAACTGATAAAATATATAAACTACCAGTTTTTATCAAATAATTTCACACTCTACAAGAAGTACAACTATTATAACGATAAAATAACAAAAACTTGTCGTTTGTTGGTTATTAGAATACAAAAAAAATATTATCATTCATGCAAAATGTATATTCAACTTAATAATTAATTCTTTAGCTAAAAATGGCTTCTAATCTCATTCGAATTAGTTCACGCAAACAATCTAAAGAAATTTAAAGTTAAAATTTTGCCAGTGTTCGACGCAGTTCATATATATAAGATGGCAAGCTTCACTCCAATCTCATGCCTTGTATCCTGATTTTCTACGTCAGTCCTTTTCAGGTTACAAGACCATTGAACTGATTCACCTCTCAGTTTTGCTTTTTACCACTGTTTCCAAACAGTTGGCCCACTTTCGTAATGATTTTCACGTGATCTCTTCCCAAATCGGTCAAAGGTGGAATGTCTTTCTTCTTGCTTGTGTTTCTTTTCCATGCTGGCATACACCTGTTCGACAGGGGTTTCATTTTTCCTTTTGTCTTTGTGTGAGCTGAACCCAGCAGAGTCAGGTGGAATGYGTGTTGAAACATTTTCGATTCTTTCGCAGCCATCAGGTGTTGACACTATAATCAAATAACAGAAACAACGCGATACTGCAGTGTATAAGAGCTGGCGTGTTCTCTCCATCTCACCTCGGGGATAGCACTCGGGGTCACATAAAATCACCACTTTAGATTCCAGTCCCTTGAATCTCCTTATGCTATCGACAGCTATAGCATCTTTTGCAGCAGGAGTCAAGCGTTTCTCTGCGTTTAATCTGCGTATTTTGGGTAATTTGCAGCCGAGTTCTTTATTCAAAGAAATGGCAGCGTCCTTATTCTTTTCTAAAACTGCTATGTCTCTTGCTTTTACCTTTTTATCTTGCAACWTTAGTATGTGGTTGACCACGAGTTCTGCTCTGTTTGATCTGTCCTGTTCGAGGTTCTGGTCCCAAAGAATGTCCAAGCCTATCTCTTTGTGTCCAAGCTGGATTTCTCCATCTTCGGAAATGTCTTCATAATACTTTTTTGACAAGGAAAATATCTTCTCTGTATTCCTGAAGACATACTTTAATTGCGTAGCTTTACTCAGATAATCCCAGGGTAGGTTTTGGGTTTCACTCAGTTGCACATGTTGATTGCTGTCAAACATGACCCAAAAATAGTATCTGCTTTTATCGTCGGGTTTATTGTGTAACTTCTCAAGAAATTTTGGCCACTTGYTTCCAGAAAGGTCTTGCCCTTCATCTACAAATATGTGCTCGTACTTCTTATCATCAGGAGGATTATCAGTTGCTTCTACTTCATTTCTCCTTTTTACAAACTCTGTTGAGTCATCCTCTTTAACTACACCAAAACCCCCTACTTCCTTGATGAAAGCATCGTATGTCTTAATCGTCACTGGGGACTCTGTGYCATACTTTTCATTAAACCAACCATTGATCTCATTTTCCAGATAAATGGAGAGGGGACGGTTGAAACACAACACCAGTATTCTCTCCATTTTCTYCCTTTCCTGTATTTTGCTCGCAATCTCTTTCACCTTCTCTATTACCAACACAGTTTTTCCACTTCCAGCGGGGCCAGTAAACCACTGGACTGTAGAAGAATCGTACCAGGCTTTCAACTGTCTGGGGGTGAATATTTTAACAATATTCTCGTGTGTCTTGTCAATCTGCAGGTTTAAGGTTGGCAATAAACAGGAAAAGGGGACAAACCTGAGGAGGATAACAGATAGAACAACATGAATTTGATAAGTGCATATTACTTCACTTAGATATCACTGTTTTCTAAACTTTTGATTGGCTACGTGAGTGGGTGGGTG